ACCTTTAGCCACCTTCCAAAATAAATAAATAGAAGTATATAGTTGAATCTGTTTGGCTCCAGTGAGCTAGCCGGGACTTCTCACCTCGTTTGGTCAGCTTTGTTGAAATTTGAAATGTAGAAAATGAATTTTAGATGCGTTTTTTTCCCCCACGCACTGGTTTACACAGGTTTACAGTCCTAGATTTGTCTTTAAATGGCAAAGTATAAATCTGTGCTTTAGTAACATTATAATTTATTGTCCATTAGTGTATTAATTTTTTCTGTTCTACTTCTACATCACGTTTTTCAAGCTAAATTGTGAGAATTCTACTTTAAGTATATAGTTTCATACAGGTGTGTCACCCAGACGTGTGTAACCAGAAATGTGAAGGTGTGTGTTCTCTGTTAGTACTAGTCTTTGTGTTGCACTGTAATGGCTCCAGTCTGCTGGTGTGTTCCACCTCGACTCTCCCTTCTCTGTCATGTTTGACTATCGGGCACAGCAAGAATCAGTAGGTAGGGTGAATAAAATTTATATCATCAGATTTATTCGCTCATCATTTTTAGGTTTGAGTCGTTGCTTGCTAAGGATCATCAGCATGAATAGAAAATAAATTGGTGTTGATTTGGACTTTATTTAAGCTGTGATACTTCTTCCAAGAATCATGCGAGAACCAACTTTATATTTGTATTAGGGGTGTGTGTCCACAAGAATAGGGTGATGTGATGAATCATAATACCAAAAGCCACAGAGATGCTTCACAAAAACAAATAAAAATAATTTCATAAATGGGAAGAAAGGAAAATTTTTGATTAAAAATGGGAAGAAAAAGAAAAAGTAGTCACAGGATCCTGCATGAAAGAAGCTAGTGAGGAAGAAGAGGATGAACTGGTGAACATTCAGCTCATGAGACGAGATATCTGCTAATGGGGATGTCCCGTTCCGATATTGATATCGGAAGTAATTCGACATCGGCCCACAAACAATGTATCGGATTCTATCGGACTGCATCAAAAATCTCAGATATAATCAATCTGTTCCGTTTTAAATTTCGTTCCAGCTGTTCTATCCAGCAGCAACCAGATGCAGCATTTTTTGTTCAAGTCCATAAAAGACATTGTGGCTCAGTGCAACATTTGCCATGCACAAGTTTCCCGTGGTGGACCAGAACCAGGAAAGTTTAATACGTCCAACCTCATGCAGCATCAAAAAACCGTGCATGAGGATTTTTCCAGTGTGTGGAATTGAAACTTAGGACATTCAACTTGTAGCGGTTGGTAAATGGACAATATTGTGTTTTATTTATTTTTCTCTTACGTCCCTGCCCTCAGCAATTCCTACCAAACTTTAAAAAGATACCTTTTGTTTTTTTTTGTTAAAATATTTTTCAGAGTCTTTTAATTTTTTTTTTACAAATTTTTTAATTAATTTGTTATACATTATGTTTAAGGTTTACATTTATGCAAACAATGGTTTAAAAAAAGTATTGTTTTCATACTTACTGTTGGCAGCTTTTTTTTTAACTGATTCGGAAATATCACTTAATCAAACCTTTCATACATTCCACACTATGAAATAGGTAAAAGTATATATGATTGTGCTTATGTCGTATCTGATTGATATTGGTATCGGTCAATACCGAAGGCTGCGATATCGGTGTCGTATCGGAAGTGGAAAAAGTTATATTCAGACATTCCAATCTGCCAACTTCCTGTCAGCGCTGACTAACTGAACTATGCACAAACCTAAAAGTAAAAAAAAAAAAAAAACATGAATAGCAAAATAAACTTTTCTTGGTCTAATTACACAAAAAAAAGGTTTAAACTTACATCAACATAGTATTTTCTGTGGCCAGACTGACCTTATTTGCTTTTAGAATGACCGAGCTAATGGCTGGTGGCACCATCCATCCTATGGCCATGTCTCCAGTTGAGGTCTTTGGGCTGGGTCTTTTCTCCTGCATTTGAAAAGATGCACCACTCAGGACAGAGGGGACAGGGATGGAAAGGTTTGCCTTGGTCTGTATAGTTTTCACATTTAAATACATGTTTATTTAATCTGTGCACGTGATTAACAAAAACTCAGAATTGAGTTATCTTGATAACTCCTCCCCCTCCTCTAAATATGGAGGAGAGCAATTGTCAATATTATTGACTATCAAGCTATTATAAATAAAGCTTTGATTGATTGATTGGTCATGCATGCATGGTGCTATATTGTCTCACTATTATGTAACGGTTGACAGGCTTCTGTGGGAGAGCGAGAGACATGAGCCGAGTGTCCACAGCCAATCAGATAGCTTGTCCTTGCATTGGCTTTGTGTGTGTGTGTGTGTGTGTGTGTGAGTGAGATTTGGTTTTACTACCTCAAGTTAAAGCAGTTTTTATCTGTTTTCAAGTGTTTCTTAAGATTTCTTTTTTGATTATATAAAAAAATCATTATGAAAATGACGTAAAAATGAAAGATTGTATGGAAAAAGTAATCCTTTAAAAGCTTCAAGTAATGGAATACATTCAGTATCTTGGGAGGTTAGATGACTTTATTACATTTGCAGGCTGGACTCCAGAGTCTCAAATTGTCTGTGGAAATGTATTTTCCCATAAAAGAGGGTGCTTCAGGAAATATGAATACATTTACTGTCAAGATCAGTTATTCATCACATTAATAAAATAATCTAGGTGAACAGTTGCATTAATTTTAATTTTGCAGGGATTTCACAATTGAAACAATGTCAGATTATAACATTAATGCGTTTGTCAGTGAGGAATCATGCCAGCTTCATTTTCTGTAATATAATTAGGCTGTTTGAGTTTGGAGTACATCCTGCTGTGATAAAGTTTGAGTGATGAATAGATGTTGGGGTAACCGGGATAACTGGAACACATGCAAACCTGATTGTCAGCCAGGTTTGTTTTATTTTCACAGATACACTTACTGCCATGTGGTGTTTGGGCAGCAGCGTTGTTGCTCAAAAGCACATTTTCTTCTGACTTTAACTCAAAAACCTTCAGTCATGTTTGGTTCAAGTAGGATGGCGTATACACAGAACAGTTTCATCAGAAATTGACTAAGTGTGACCTAATTGTCAGTAAAATACCACTCTTGAAGGCTTTAGTGCCCTAAATAAGTATTTATCATCTTAGTGTTTGTTTGTAACCCTTCCAGTAGGGACGTGTTATTACTCGGATCTTGAGTTGGGAAAGTCGAAGCTCACGATTTACCGGTCGATCTACGTTCCAACCCTCATCTATGGTCACGAGCTGACCAAAAGAATGATTTTGCCGACACAGGCGGTCGAAATGAGTTTTCTCTGCAGGGTGTCTGGGCTCTCCCTGAGAGGTAGGGTGAGAAGCTCATTCATCAGGGAGGGGCTCAGAGTAGACTCACTGCTCCTTCACATCTAGAGGAGCCTGTTGAATTGTCTCGGGCATCTGAATAGGATGCGTCCTGGACGACGAGGTTTTCTGGGCACGTCCAACTGGGAATAGACCTAAAGGAATACCCAGGACTGCTGGAGGGACTATGTCTCTTAAGCTGGCCAGGGAACACCTTGGGATTCCCCGAAGGAGCTGGTCCAAGTAGCTGGGGGGAGGGGAGTCTGGGCCTCCCTGGCTAGGCTGTTGCCCCCACGATCCGACCCAGGATAAGCGGAAGACGATGGATGTATGGAACTTTATTTCACTAAGTGGTTAAAGTGTCGTCTGTCTTACTGAGACATCATGCATTAAAAACCAACAAGTTACATTAATGGTGTTCAACCTCGGTCCTCGAGGGCACGTTTAGATATTCTGCTCAAGCACATCGGATTTGACTCGATGTGTTTCTTATAGGCTTCTGTGGAACTTAAGGATGGGTCAAACAGGTCATTCAACAATAAAATTAGGTTTGTTGGAGCAGGGAAACAACTGAAACGTGCAGGATAGTAGGGCTGCTCGATTATGGCAAAAATAATAATCACGATTATGGTGACTGAAATTGAGATCACGATTATTTAGGACGATTTTTCAATTTATGTTGATTTTATTTGTTTTTATTCAGTCATAAAACTGCTCAGGGCACAATCAGGACAAAAATAAGAAACAAGATGATCACTAAAAGAACTCCTGATTCCCAGGATAAAAAGACCAATATACTTATAGCTCATAGTCTATGACCCAAGGGCTATAGACCTTGGTTTAACTCATGTAAGTCTAACCAGTACAGACCCAAATACCAATATCTTGCAAATACTGACAGTAAGAATTATACAGTGGCATTTATAACAAATAAATGCAAATAAATTGATGTTCACAAAATGTTACATAACATTTATTGAGTCGTGTCAAGGTGCTGTAGCACTGTGTCCTCAGAGAGATTAGTTATCAGCGTGAGGAACTTATTTCTACCTTATTTATAAACTATTTATTTACAGGCCCATCAGTTAATGTAATAATTGTCCCAACCACAGCTGCACCCCCCACCCCCCCACCCCGGTCTCACAGCAATCTAGCAAGCTGCACGTGTGTTTAGCACGCCGCACGCGCACATTTAGCTGTTTTTAGCTGCTCAGGAGACCGCAGGTGCGGTGTGTGTGTCACTCACTCTGGTTAATCCAACAAGGAGCCGGCTCCGAGAGCTGTCTTTAGCGACCGACACATCACTGCATCATTCCCTTTCCTAATGTTGTGAAGAACGGTCCGGAGCACAGGCGGAGTGTTTAGCTAACCTGCAGGAAATGTCGACGACAGTTATCCAGAAAGTAGCTAAGGGTTACCAGAGATGTTTCTGAGATGTTCGCTAGGTACTTTTAGGATTAAAAAGTCAAGAAGGGGGTCTGAAAAGCTGCTAGAAATAGCGTCAAAGTCGCTAAGTTGGCAACACTGTGGAGGAGCGCTTCATTTGCTACTTAGGGCAGCGCAAGCGGGAGGAGCAAATAATCGGCTTGTTATGTTTTTTATAATCGTTCAAAACTCAGATCGTAATCGTGATTAAAATTCGATTAATTGAGCAGCCCTACAGGATAGTTTTTCTGGAGGAACCGGATTGGACAACACTGGGTTACTTATGATGGAGGACCCCCCTAGGGACACCGTTCTGTAATTTTGCAGCATGTCAGGTAGAAACATTGACAAGTACAGCCAAAGTCCACTCGTGCTACCGTGCCAGTACAAACAAAACATTTAAAACCATGAAAAAAAGTTTTCTAAAACCTGTGGGATTTCTAGAAAGCAGCATTTATGTTTAAGAAGAAATAGAATAAAAAACATTTGGCTGGTTAAACTTTAAGAATGTATAATAAATGATTGGCTTAGTCCTAATCTAACAGTTGAAACAGTTCTCCTTAACGTGCACGTCTCTCTGGGTCTTTCCCAGGGAATCGAGCTAATCTACGCTGGGTTTTTAGGAGCGTGAGGCTGAATCGGCGTCTTCTTAGCTGAAGGACATCACATTTTCCAGGAACGAAGATCTGCCTTGACTGACGACTCTGTAGTGAAAAACATTAGTTTGTTTGCACAATAAAAGCTTTTTAATCTTTGATCTCCAACCTTCCTTTTATTTAATTGATTAACAATACTGGCAGAACACAAAGTCCCAAGGCAATGATGCACAAATATAAATATGAAAAAGTTGATCAACCTTAGAAATCGCTGTGTTTTGTCTACTGGCTTTTTTTACATTCACTCTTATTTTTATTCTAGTATTTTTATTTCTATCTAGTAGTATTTATTTAACCTATAGAAGCTCTGTAGTTTGTGTACTTGTGAGGTCACAAGGAGTACGTTTTGTTTTATAGGTCAGAGTTGATGTCATCGTCGTACTTCTGTTTGAATCATTAAGTGTAAATTATTTTGCTATTACATTTTTTTATTGGCTCAGATTTTTTTAGTAATGCAACAAAAGCCATGTTTGGGTTCACACTGAGTGAGTTCTCAGAATAGCAGCTTGTCATTCATTCTGTTTGCCATATCGATCGTGGAGGCTGAGGCCAAAGTTCACTAGTGTGCCGAAGGCGTTACCAATCTCAGGCAAAGGTAAAATCCATGGGCTCTGTGGAGAGAAGGGAGAGTTCCAGGGAAGGAAAGGGAACAATCACGGTTGGGTCCCTGAATCGCTGTTTTACCACCAACTTAATGAAAAGATATCTTGGTTTTAAAAAGGATGGCAGGTTTGTTCATATTTACTAATGCCGACGTTTAGACAGTAGATCGGTCATCATTTTAGTCGGTGTTTTAACGTTGATTCTCGACATTGTTTTGTTTTTTAGCTGATAAGATGAGCAGTCTTACTTTTTGTAGGGTTCAACGAATGCTTTAAAATGATTAGATGCTTTTTCAGCAACTTTAGAAATTTTTTTACTTTAAAACTTTGATAAAAAAAACAAGAAACACAAAAACTATCTTAGCAATCTAGCAAAAATATGGAAGCGAAACATTGTGTTTCTCAGGTGTTTTTTTTTTTCTGCATCCATTTTGCAAACAGCTTCTGTACAAAAGTCTGCCCAGTTTTATTTGTAAACAACCAAGAAGATCAGGGTCATTCGGGGATAAGTTAGAGGATCCAGTTCCCAAACTAGTTGATTTCTTCATAAGAAAGCAGAAGAGTTGACGTTTCAATCTACATGTGCTGGGTTTGCTCAGTCATACTAACGCTGGCGGCTAAATCAGTTTCCTTGTAGTAAGATCAGATGTAGATTACAGTGGTGTGAGAAATGGCACATACGTCTCCCCAGGAAATTGTGAGTGCGTTTACATGCAGCCAGTAACCCTTTTAAAACCCGAATATTCACAATAACCTGGTTCCGCAGGTCCTTGTAAACACCGCCAAAAACCCGGATATGCTCATAACCGGGTTTTTAAAAACCCAGTTGCTACACCTGGGGTAACCCTTTTCTAACCCGAATGTTTGGTCGTGTAAACGCATATCGGGATATCCCCATCAAAGTGTGTGTTCTGCGCATGCTCTGTTCGCAAGGAATCTTGGTCTTTTGAGGAGCGAGACGTCTTGTATGCGCCAGAACACCGGAAGTAAACAACAAGTTGGGAGCAACATGGCGAGTCGCGGCACAGCACCACACTTTTGGAGTGACGAAGAAACTAAAGCACAAACAAACGCGGTCGCTATCTCTTCCGAACTGGGAAACATGTTGCTGTTTTCACGGATACCGGAACAAGAATAACCGGAAATGATGCATATTGCGTCTGGACGTAGTCCATACGTCCTGACGCTACCCCAACTTCCGCATTTAAATCGGGTTATGCAAGTTAGGGGTAACTCTTTCTATTTATGCTTGTAAACGGGTTATTCTGATCAACTCAGAAACCTGAATACCGACCTTAACCCGATCATAACCCGGATATTGGCTGCATGTAAACATAGTCAGTGTCATTGAGGAATGTGGTGGTGAAGGAGCCACGCATTGAGTAACTGGGTTAAAACATAAGCATCCTCTAGTGGTTCATCATATTGGTGTGTTTTAGCATCCGTTTTTTTCCGTTGGCTTGTTTGTACTTGATAGATCTTCTGATTCCAGTGGAGACCATGGACCAAAGAAATACTTCTGACAGTGCAGTCTGGGTTATACTGTTCTAAAAAAAGCTCTCTGCACTCTTTAGCCCATGATTGTTGCACAAACTCACATTTGAGAATAACCTTTAGCTGTTTGTGTCTGATGAAATCCTGCATAGCAACATATACTTACTTAGTTTTGGCTCAACGCTTTTGTTCTTGTTTCTACAGGTGACTAAGTGGCCTCAGTCACCGCAGCCAAAGAATTTAGACTCAAATTACAGACGTGGACGTTCCATCAGCTGTGAAGCAGATTTCTCTTGACTTGAATCCATCGGTGTCGTTCTTTTCCCGTCGCTCCGTCTGCTAGGCATACCTTTGGGAAGCCGCCTTGATCTCTAAGAAGAGGTGCATGTTTTTTCCCCACCAGTGACCTCCCAGAGGAGCTGTCCCTGACAACTCTCCCTTCAGAAGAAGTCTGTGGGAGCATCACCAAAGGAAACATGTGCTAGAAGCTGAAAATCTGGTTTTGAACAGCTGCGTAGAGTGGACGATAGAAGATGAGCAATGAGGACGAGTTTTACGACGCCGTCACAGGTAAAGGCGCTCTTCCTGTTGACTTTCTAACAATGCCGTCTTTCCACAGGTGGAAAGGACCCGAGGCGTTGGTAATCTGATGTGTATTTTCTTCTTGAGTGTTCAGCAAAGAATAAATGTTACCTACCAGAACATTTCTAGCAAAACTCCTGCCAGAATAAGGCTTCACGGGCCCAGTAGTTACTTTATTCTATGTGTGTTCACACAGGTTAGCTTCACGATCTATGTTCTTCTTAGAAAGTTTATTTTTTTGGACCAAAAAAATCTAGTATGTGGTGTATTTGCTGCAGAATCATCGTTCTGAGGCCAGGCCAGGCTGCCCTCCTCTGGCTGGTGCCTTATTGGACAGCAAGGGTTCTGATAAGGTCTTTAGTAAAATCTTTCTCCTTATCTTGAGGCAAAACCAGGTTTTCAATGGTAATCTGGTATTATTACAAGTATTTTTGTCTGATTGAGACTTTTCTGATCACTAATAAAATAAAACAGGTGAAGTCTGGGTTGATACGCCATCGTTAGGTGTGTGCGCGCGTTGGGGTCAACATCTGATTTCAGTTGTAGTTTTAATTTTAATTTTTATGTTTAACTCATGGACGTAATTTTGGGGGGGGGGGACAGGGGGGACATGTCCCCCCCCCACTTTTTCCAAATTCAAGTTTTGACCCCTGCACTTTTTACCATCCAAAAACAATATTACGCTATGTTAAATTGACACTAGTTGAGCTCTAGGACGAAGCGGAAAACAACCGTTTGTGTTGAAGCCTGTTTCCCATTAGATCATACTGTAAAGATATACCCCCCCCCCCCGTCCCCCCACTTCTAAAGTGAAAATTACGTCCATGGTTTAACTCATTCACTGCCAGCCGTTTCCTGATCAGAAAAGCCCTTCGCTGCCAGCGTTTTTCAGCGTTTTCACAGTTTTTTTAAGAGTGACAGAACGTTGCGCGCTGGGATGATGTCAATGCTAAAACTACCAAAACAAAGAGTAGACTCACCTTACATCAGGAAGAATCTGCGCGTTCCGTTGAATTGTGATTGGCAGAAGCTTTTCCGGTTAGCTCCTCACTTTTTATTACAGTAGCGGCCCAAAATGATCTAACACATGGATTTTCTGCTTCCTGATCACGTGACGTGTAACGTACTCGGATGAAGATCGGCTTTAGGGCTGAGATGTTTGCTCTCGTGGTGCGGGGGCTCGTTCCGACGCCCACACAGTAAAAAAAAATGCAAATGACATTCAATGAGTTAATGGTTGTTCAAATATGCTTTTTTCCATCACACGCATTTGCTCTTCCACCTGAGTGTGCAGCTTAAAATGATTAAGGAGGCCTAAGTGACTCAAGCTGGGTTGACATTTAAAGAATACACACCTTGTTGAACTATTACTGAAAGGTGAAACTCAGGTTTATTTTTAGGCCAAGGTTGAGGCCGTACTTTGTACTTTCTCAGCCCTACCCAACCACATAATTTAGGGCTTAGAGCAGATCAGCGGTTACTGCTACTTCAAGTGTATTCCAGGAAACCTGACTTCTGACCTGACGTCGGCTTGAACACTGTTGCTAACCACTTAAACATTCTCCCTCTCCTGATAATAACACTTTACTTTCCTTGACGTTGAATGTGCTACTACTAGTTTACCCGTTTAATTATAGATTCACTAGGATAAATACAATAAAGTTTATGTCTCACCAAAAAGAATATTTACTAAGACATCACAACGTAACCATAGAAACACTACTTGGTAAATATGTTGTGTGTGTGTGTGTGAATGTGTGTGTGTGTGTCTTCTCGATCCCCAGTGAGTCGTGGTGGATGGCTGCTTATACTGAGCTAGGATCCTCTGGAGTTTTCCTGTTAAAAGGGAGTTTTCCTCTCCACTGTTGCTAAATGCTTGCTTAGTATGAGGATTGCTGTAAAGTCACTGACACTAGTCAGTGACTTGATGCAATCTGCTGGATTGCTTATATAGGACACTTTTATCTGATTGGCTTAACAAACTGGCCTGTATTGGAATGTTTATTATGTGAAGTGCCTTGAGACGACTCTTGTTGTGATTTTGCGCTATATAAATAAACTTGAACTGAATTGAATTCTCACAGAATGAATGAAATAGAAATTTTAAATACTATTCTCCTGTAAAAGGATTTTCTATTTATCGGCTTTTCGGAGAGCTGTACTTAAGTTTTATTTATTATGAACTTAATGTGAACACTTTGAGACGACAAAGAAAAGTGTTATTCAAATTGAGCCAAAATGTTGCTGATGCAAAACAGTTTGTATTTTAAAACAAGTCTAGATCTGCAGATAAAACCCTAACCACTGCTTGCATGCAACAGGATTCTCCATTTTTGCATCGACACTCTTTAAAGTTTATTTCCATATTTGCACAGAGCGTGGACTGTGTGACGTGTGATAAAATGGTGTCATTTATCTATTTTTTCTCGTCTCTTCTTGCAGGCCTGGATTCAGATGAGTCATACGAAGGCTTGTCGGAGGCCAGTTTCAAAGATGCAAAGGGTTTTGATTGCAGCACTCAGAAAAACAATGGATCCGTACGACATGAGAACGGTATTAAGAAGCACAGGTACAACGGCATTCCTGCACCACATTCCTTCTGTTGTGTGTCTGGATTATGTTCTGAAAAAACCCAAAACCAAATTTCAAATCAGGACCGATTTCCTTTAAATTCAGCTTGTTATTGGTATTTATTCTTGCTTTGGTCTTTTTCCTGTAAGACAAATCAGGGTCGCTGTGATTGAAATCATTCCTTAAGCTGTAATTAACTATATTTGTTAAATATTAGTCTGAAAGGAACAAGAGTAAAGAATTAATTAAGCTGTGATTTGGGCATGTATTTAGGCTTTTACTTGTTTTTGTGACATCACGTAAAGTAAGAACCCCCCGCCCAACCTCCCCAAGCAGGTGTGTTGTTGTTGTTGTCGTTAGTTATTGTAAAGTTCGGGATGAATGGTTTTCTTTGATCTCTTTGCAGCATTTTGTTCTTCTTTAAGCCATGTGTTTTTGCTTTTCTGCCATTTTAGGTCCTCTTTACCGGCGCCCATGTTTTCTAGAAACACTGTCAGTGTCTGGAGCATCCTGAAAAAATGTATCGGACTGGTAAGGCCAAGTTGGTTTTAAATCATCAAGACGAGTTTATTAACTCAGATTATGAACACAAAGTTCAAATCTTAAAGGAGTCATCACCTGAAAGTTTCACTTTTCCACTTTAAAAAATGTATATAATGGCTTCTTAATGATTTTCACTGGCTGGGAAGCTGATATTTAACATTTGATCGTTTTTTTAACTCTTGGCTTCATCAACCAGCCCACGAGCACGCGCACTCCAAAACGAGATCTTGTGTTCTGGCCTTGATGTCGTCACAACGGCAGGATGTACAGCGCAGCACAACGCCGCTATAGCCCCGCTTCCTCTCAAATTCAGTCGAGCGCCGCCATTACTGAAATCGGGAGAACGGAAAATGTGTTTCACATGTGAGCTGCTCAGTAGTTGACTGCCAACTGCCTGAAGAAAGCGGGCGGGACCTTCACCTTGTTTTATTTTTAAACGTAGCTCGCTTGAACGGCTTTTTCCGTGATCATCTACCCTACCTTTAACAGATTGTCCAAGATCTAGCCTTTCTTCCTAGAAACCGTGGTTTTTAATCTGAAATGATCAATATTGGTAAAATATCCTCTTTTCCCATTAACATTAATAATCAAAATACAGACTGATGAGGAAAGTTCTGCTAGCCAGTGGATGAGTTGAGTCTAAATGAGTTAAATGATTTTACTCAACATGATTCATGTTTTCTATTTTTCCAGGAATTGTCCAAGATCACAATGCCCATCGTCTTCAATGAACCCCTGAGCTTTCTGCAGAGGATCTCAGAATACATGGAACACACTTACCTCATCAACAGAGCCTGCTCGCTGTCCAACTCCCTACAGCGCATGCAGGTCAGGGAAACACACACACACGCACGCACGCTTGATTTCACTTACATGACTTTTGCTCCAAAGTTCAGCCACACACATCGATCCACTGTCACTGTTGCAATATGTCCAAAGGGTAGGGGTATAGAAAATAGAAATAATGTCTGTATATGGGGGTTGTCGGCCATGACAGCAGTATCGATATCAGAAATCTCTATTGGCCCAAATTGTCACATGGGTTCATGGCTAATGCTAATGCAGTTTGTGTTATTTTAGGCAGTCGCTGCTTTTGCTGTGTCAGCAGTTGCATCTCAGTGGGACAGGACTGGAAAACCCTTCAACCCACTGCTAGGAGAGACCTATGAACTCGTCAGGTACTCCTTTCTTTCTTTCTTTCTTTCTTTCTTTCTTTCTTTCTTTCTTTCTTTCTTTCTTTCTTTCTTTCTTTCTTTCTTTCTTTCCATCTTTCCATCTTTCTTTCTTTTTCTTTCTTTCCATCTTTCTTTCTTTCCATCTTTCTTTCTATCTTTCTTTCTTTCCATCTTTCTTTTTCTTTCTTTCTTTTTCTTTCTTTCTTTTTTTCTTTTTTCTTTCTTTCTTTCTTTCTTTCTTTCTTTTTCTTTCTTTTTTTCTTTCTTTCCATCTTTCTTTCTTTCTTTCTTTCTCTGTCTCCATTTTTCTGTTCCTCCTCATTCTCTCTCTCTCCTCTCTCGCTACCATTTTGTTGACATTGCTCCTGTTTTAAGTTAAGCTCCTTCTCTTGCACAGAGAGGACCAGGGTTTCCGTCTGATATCCGAGCAGGTATCCCATCATCCTCCAGTCAGTGCCTTCCATGCAGAGAGCCTTTCCGGGGACTTCATCTTCCATGGCTCCATCTACCCAAAACTCAAGTTCTGGGGCAAAAGTGTTGAAGCTGAGCCCAAAGGAACAATCACTCTAGAGCTACTCAAGTGAGCCACACCTCATCATTTGTTCCACTAAACTTATTCCGTCTACCTCTTCGTACACCCTTTTATCATATTACGTCTTCCTGTTCTGTCCTTCAGACACAATGAGGCGTACACGTGGAGCAACCCTTACTGCTGTGTACATAACATCATCCTGGGCAAACTGTGGATTGAACAGTACGGCACGGTGGAAATAGTCAACCACAGGTACGTGCTTGAGAGCTTTTGTAACCAAATAGAACTATATCACAATAAATAAACGGATTTATAATTGGCACAGACACATGTAAGTTTAGAGCCAAATGGCTTCAGCATGTTTTAATGAGACCCCATATGTCTGGACCTAATCAACAGGGATGAAGCTTGAGCACAGCCTTTGTTTACGCTGGTATTTGAGATTGGACTTTGTTTATTTTCTGCTTTCTCAGACAAACAGTCCATCTAAAAGCCCGTATTTGTCCAGAAAAGCTGTACAAAGCTTGTTGTCTTTGCCTCCACCTCGCTGTGTGTCTCATTCACACAGTGGCACTGATTGGTTAGAACCCAAAAACATACAAACGCAAAACTGGGATTTCGTCTTTAGTATTTGTGTATTGTTAATTCAGCAAAATCATGTTTATTAAGTAGAAAACAACTACGTTTTTCTTGAAACAAGCTGTTCTCCCTTTTTTTGTTCTACAGAACAGGAGAAAAGTGCGTGTTGAATTTCAAGCCTTGCGGGATGTTTGGAAAAGAGTTGCACAAAGTGGAGGGATACATCCAAAACAGGAAGTTAGTTATAGTTGAACTGTTTTACCTTTAGAAGACTTTTCCATTTCCTCATCTGCCGTTGTGGTTTATCTGTCCAGCAAAAAGAAACTCCGTGCTATTTACGGGAAGTGGACCGAGTGCATGTGGAGCGTCGACCCTCAGGCTTACGAGGACCACAAGAAGTCTGAGAAGAAAGGCGACAATAAGACCAAAAAGAATGTGAGATCTGTCAAATTCTGAGCTATTTACTGATTTTTGCAGTTCTATAATGTTGATTTTAATCTCGGCTTTCTGTGTGCCCATATCCAGGTAAAACAAATGTATGGGATAATATTTGTGCCAAAAGGACCAACCCCCCCCCCCCAAAAAAAAGTACAATCCAACACAAAATATACTGTCTAATGAGACTTTGGCCCTGTCCACACGTAGCCGGGGATCTGCCAAAACGTAGATATTTTGCTACATTTTGGCCTGTCATCCACACGAAAATGGAGTTTTTTCACATGAAAACAGAGTTTTTTAAAAACTCCGGCCAAAGTGAAGATCTGTGTTTTCTCCGTTTTGGGTGTCTGCGTGTGGACAGACAAAACCAGAGTTTTAAGGTCCGCAACGTCACTTTCCGCGACATAAAAATGCTGACATCACGTGTCCGACCTGTGTTTACACTAGCCGACATCATGGATGCCCTCAGAGCTGCGCTCGCTTTATCAATTGTCCAAGCGCTTTTTGCTTGTTTGTTTTTGCAAGCGGAATTACTGCTCCTTGCGGAAGACCACAGATGAAGGACGAGGTTAAGAACGGGGGAAGTACTGCCACCTACAGGTCTGGCATGTCCTTAACGTATTTATCCGGGTACGTGTGGACAGAGTTTTTTTTTTTAAATGAGGTGGTGTGGATGCAAGTTTTTGGAGGGGCGGATATTCGTTTAAAAAAAAACCCGCTACGTGTGGACTAGGCCTTTCTTTCAGACAGAAACAAAAGCAAAGGGCTGTAGGCAGAATCAAAACACACCCCTCAGAATAAAACCCTAAATAAACCAAGTAACGCAGAATTAAGTGAACCAAAAAAAGAAGTCTCAAAGAAATAAGAGTCAAATGTAAATTCTTCGTTTTTAAATGTAGGAAAGAATAGAATAGACTATGTTGAGTGGGGAAATTCACTTGTTACAGCAGCACAAACACAGAATCATTCGAAGAAAATTAACAACAAAGGTGCGTGTATGTACACGTAGGCAGTAATCTAGTATTGTAACCTTCAACCACTAAAAACCACGAATAAAAATGAAAACTTGGTTTCCAAAACCATGCAGCATACTGTAAGGGACACGGACATACTATGTAAATCCAGTATTGAACATGTACTGAGTGTTGCATTGGTGTTATTGTGTACCAGGATAATGCCAGTACCAGTTAAACTGAGGAATTATACACTCTTACTACAGAGGGGATGAATGACCTACGATAGCATTCTGTGTTACATCTGGGATGTCTCAGTCTGCCTCCGAAGGAGCAAGGTTTTTTTTTAAGATGGAGGTCATCTTTCCCACGTCTCCTCAACTGAATTCAGTGGGCAGCTCAGAATCGAGCTAGCTTTAACTAACTTGTTCAGTCTCTTCCAGTCTCCTGTCTCGCTATATAAAAGATTGTTTTCTTTCTTTCGGTCAGAGCTGCCTACACCCCAACAGATATAACTATTCACTTGCAAAAGGGGTTAATTTGGTTTTTAAAGAGATTTGTTAGCTTTTGAAATTCAAACAGTTGCTTCTTTTAGTTGCTTTATTCTGGTATATTTTGTGTAAGACTATTTATTTGGTTGATTCCTTTGGCACAAATATTATTCCATACAAAATTCTCGCGTAGATTTCTGGGTGCTATAAAAAAGTCAGAATCTGTGTTAAACTTAGGAAACATTATTGACTTAGTGGATCAAACAGACTGATGCTTCTGTGGGTGGTGACTGTTTTTAGAGCCAGGTCACAAGAACTCCATTCAGTGAGATCCGGTTTGGTTCTGGATCTTTTGTTTATATTTAAACAGAGTTTTGTAACTTCCAGGGAGAACCGGAGAAAACGGAGAATGATGAAGCAGACGATATGCCTGAAGTCCTCGAGACGGTGTCTGTGGTACCAGGAAGCACTTTGTTGTGGAGGATAGAGTCCCGACCCGCACACTCTGCTATGGTATTAACATAAAAACACACATAGGACCATAAATAAACACACAATAGTGTGTTACGCTTCCTGTAAGTCAGTGAAAACACTCAAAAGCCCTTCTGGATTCTCCTCAGATGTATAACTTTACAAACTTTGCGGTGTCTCTAAATGAGCTGGAGCCTGGCATGGAGTCCATCTTGGCACCCACAGACTGTCGCTTCAGGCCTGACATCAGAGCCATGGAGAACGGAAACATAGGTAATTTTATCCCAAGAGTCCTGAAGCTAATTCTGCTATTTATAATCTCCTCTATTACAAGATGAATGCTACGTTTCTGCTAAACAAAACGTAATGGCATTAAGTAGGGCTGTCGCGGTAACCGCAAAAATGAAATATCGCGATATGAAGAAACCCACCACGCTGCATCATGCGCCACCGCGATTACTGAACTTGGTTCAACTCAATGATGCATGTTGAGAAGGATGGCTGCACTGGTATCAAAACGAAACGTTACTTCGCTCCTTTGGGAGCACTTTGGTTTTCAGTACGTCAGCTGCTGCGCAGCCAGAGTCCTTGGCCGAGACAGAGCTGCCACCAGCGGCAAAAATAAATAAATAAATGCTCGGAGACCTGCTGAAGTCCCGGACAAGCACTGCTTCTGCAGCCGTCCCGAAGAGAGTTTGAGCCGAGCTGGAGCTCACTCGCTACCTGCAGGAGGAATGCATTCACCCTAAAGAAAACCCCCGTGACACGGTGGAGCAACAACCGGGAGAGATTCCCTTTGCTCGCCAGAGTCGCACGCAAGTACGTGTGTGTTAGTGCAACGAGCGCACCATCCGAGAGGGTTTTCAGTGTTGCTGCAAATGTTGCCACCCCTCTCAGATCCTCTCTCAAACCGTAGTTAACATGCTGGTTTTCCTTGTAGGTAACAAGGACGTGACCGAGCTATAAATCACCGTCATTCGTGTGTGTGAAAATGATAGTGCGCCCGCCCCCCGGCGCGCGTCCGGTACATGTAATTTTTTATGCTTGATTTTAAACAACTAAACAAAATGGGGACTTGTTTCTTATTTGTTAGATGCTGCAGCCAAATTTGCATTTAAAAGTTTAACCTTCTCCTGAATTTTGTTGTTTTTAAGTTCAGTCGGACTCCGACTGTCAGAGAAACAAACGCTACTGCGATCTGTGTTGTTACTGCCCTTTGATCTGCATTCAGTAAAGTGTTATTAAAGAAGGCATGGCAATTTTTAACCTTTTTTAAATGTGTAAACATTATGTTTAGATAGAACTGCAATAAAAAAGGGCTGCAATAATATCGCACACCGCAATATTAAGCCACCCTGAATCACCGCAGGGGGAATTCCTCAACCGCAACAGCCCTAGCATTAAGTTGTTTTTCACAAATTACAAACATGTAATATTCAGACTGTAGCTCCACCTGCTGGACGCTTGTGTTATTTTATTTTTCTAGTGAAGTCCCTTTTCCAGATTTTAACACGTCGAAATGTGATGAGACATTTTTTTAAAGCAAATCTCTTTGATTTGTTCCAATTAAACATGCCCTTCTTGTGTTATTGTGTAATTGTTTTGTTACAGATGAGGCGAGTAGGCAGAAAGAGAGACTGGAGGAGAAACAGAGAGCTGCCAGGAAGGAGAGAGCCAAGCGGGACGAGGAGTGGAGGACAAGGTAGAAAACGTTCAGTTACTCCGGCACACAAACCAGCTTCCTGTCTCCAGCTTAAAATAATGAAAAACAAAAGTTAGGTTTGATTCATCAAGTCCTTTTCAAGGACCCAAGTAGGGTTGAACGATTTTAGGAAATGACTGAATTGTGATTTTCCTGTTGGAAATTGCGATTTCAGATTAAATTAACGATTTTCTTCAAATCAAGGTTCAGCACAGTAATCACAATGTACAGCAACATTCATAAACCTGACAGGAAGTGACATCATGACATCACAACAACTAAGAGTTACGACTCTAATGCAAGGATAAAGTCTAAAGGTCAGAACTGGACGTGTTTCTCACAAAAACACGCTCCAACATCGACCACAGGCACATTTTACGTGCTGGCTTTGAATTACCGTGATTCCACAACAGTTTGTGTCGTCAGAAAAATTCGAACGGTTTCAAGTCTGCATGGAGTTATTACGGTAATTTCCTTCCCGCTGTTTCAGGAAGTTGACGAATCACTTCTGTGTGAGGGACGTCTAAAAGACGACCACAGTTGCGGTATTGATGGCCGTAGCAGCGCCACTAAAAGTAACAAACCCTGGAAAAACAACTGAATGCATCACTCAGCTCAAGCGTCAGGCTCCTGCCGCACGTTCACCCCTGCTGCTGCTTGTTGCCTTAAAACGTTTAAAACCTGGAGAAAACCCTGGATGTGTATAATGGTTGAAACAACTGATCCTGGGTCAGTCTGGCCTGGCAAACCATCATATTTATGTAAATATCTAATCTGGCCAGGAACCATTGAACAACCGGGCCATTGGGCGAAATATACGGTGGTCTTTCAAACCGCCTGAGTACACAGTTAGACAAGGCTAGGACCAATCAGAGCACTGAAGAGTGATGTATTCATCGCTACGGAGATTGGTCAACGGGACAGTACGCCATACACCGTTGAAGTAGTAAATATGTCTTCAGTGCCTCTATCTGCTCACGTCTCAAAGAAAAGCCCAACTCTACGTCGTCCAAAGTTGTTGCCAAAGCCGTTTCAAGCCAGCGCCGTTCCTGAACCGATGTCATCGGTGTAGTTTTTCTTCGCTGCAGCTCGCCCAACAATGCGATTGGCAAGACACAAAACTGTTTGGGCCAATGGTAGACCTCCCGAGGCCCACAATGGAGAGTGGCTAGACCGACCTCCAGAGCAAAAGCTTGTTGCTACAGCTACGGTTCTTCTAGGGTCAGCCAGGAGCGTTGCCAAAAAAACGCAGCTTTGATGATCACATGATTGTGTGGTCTGAAATCGCAGTTACGGGCAGAAAACAGTAGATTGTTCAGCCCTCACCCAAAACACTTTACAGAGAATCTGTACATCATAGCCACAGGTGAGGTTGCTGTTTTGCACCATCGGCCACCACAAACATGGGCAAGACAGGTAAAGTGTCTCGGATTGAGCTTGGATCGAAGCAACGAACCCGCTCTACATCCTGGGCCACTGCCGACCCTGATATGAGCAAAGGTCAAGTCTAGCCAGAGAGCAAATTTTCTGCCAAAATGACCAAACTATCCACAGCGGGTACGATGATGATTATTTATAACTTGTGCACAGGAACACAAGCAAAATGGCTAAAAAACACCCCAAAACCTGTAACTTGTTTGTATTTTAGGTGGTTCCAGAAGGGCACAAACCCATACACCAACTCCGAGGAGTGGATCTACACCGGCGGCTACTTCGACAGGAACTACCAGAACCTGCCCGACATCTACTGAGAACCCCAAATGCCTCCAGTCAGTCACCATGCAGAGAGAAATTCATACAGCAGCCATTTTCTCCCATCTCCCATCTCGTCGTTGTCTGGAACACTCCTGCGACTTATTGGGAAGAGTCAAAAAGAAACCAAAGTGTCTCTTCGGTCTTAATGTTGACATCTTGTGTATTTCTTTCCCCAACAGCTGACTGTTCTCTCTGCCCCAGCACTACACAGAGCACAATATGGTTCCAGACCGACCCTCCAGGCTCCTACATTAGAATATCCAACAACTTTGAAATCAAACTTTTTGTTTTCCTCGGATCTGGCAAACCTCCAGATGGTTGCTTGTGACTCATGAATGAATAAATGTGAGTGAGAACAATCTTAACGAAAACAAAATGCACCGCATGATGGAGGATGTGTGGATCTGAAACTCCGTCATCAAGGAAATCAGGGATGTGAACTTTCCTTTGACTGAAGGCGGATCTTGTGGAAACATTTTTTTCCTTCTCTTTGGAAACATTAAGGGACTTGAAACACTTAAAAAAATCTACAAATGTAAAGATTTTAGTCTGGAAGGAACAAATGTACACTGTAACGTCAGCGTTAAATAACCCTAAAACAGCATAACACTCGGTTTATTAGAAGCAGCACAACTCACAGAGCTCTAATGTGTCTTAAAATAATAATAATAGAAAAAAACATTAGTTTAACTAAAAATGTTGCTTGTAAAATAGTTCTGACTCACGACTCCAGCTTGGGTTATTCTGATTACAAGATCTGAGAACAAATGTTAATCTGGTTAAAAAAAAAACTTAAAACTTGATGTTTCCTCAGACAAATCACTTAAATTCATTTCTTTAAGCTAATTTCTTGACTAAATGTCATTTCTTAAGTTGAAACTGTTGCCAGGATGTCATTTTAGTTCAGATTGGAACAAGTTGTATTAAATTAATCTTTGTTAAAAGTCCAAAAAAGGGAAGAAATTCCATCCAGTCTATCATGTAGATGTATTTAAGGTTATATTAATCACAGTTGTGACAATTAAGGGGTTATTTCCCTAAAATATTCGAGGTATATAAAGCATTATTGCATGATTGGGGGGGGGGGGGGGGGGTATTTTCATGTGGTTGTAATTCGATGTAACATGAATGTTGAATTAAATGAGTGAACTCGGTCATAGAGTTCAGTTCTAGAGGTTAAAATGAGTTGTTTTAACAAAAAAAAACAACTTTCAGGAAAGAAAAATCACAAATAAAACATCTGAGATGTAAAATATAAAAAATAATCCTCAATGATTGTAGAAGTGTTCTACTTTAGTCTGTCTCCAGCTTCTGTACATATCTTTCTCTTTGTGCCTTGGGTGGAGTCGTCTCATCCGTGTCTTGGATTACAACACCCAGAATGTCTGCTGAAATAACGGGACATGCGTGGTTTCTATGTTGCAGGTTGATGTTCAGAAACCAGTAAAAGGTGGGCGACGGTGGCACAGGCGTTAAGTGCTCGCCCCATAATCGGAAGGTTGTAGGTTCGAGACCCTCTCAGTCTGTCGCTGTGTCCTTGGGCAAGACACTTAACCCACGTTGCCTGTTGGTGGTGGTCGGAGGGACCGGTGGCGCCAGTGCTCGGCAGCCTCGCCTCTGTCAGTGCACCCCAGGGCAGCTGTGGCTACATCGTAACTCATCACCACCAGTGTGTGAATGGGTGAATGACTGTGTTGTAAAGCGCCTTGGGGGGTTCCATTTACCATTTTTACCATTTTAAAAGAAAATTGTTATTTTTGCTGAAATTAAACAAAACAAATCATTAGAATAAAAGTTAAAAATAAATAAATAAAGCAATCTAAGAATGCTTTTTAATTGGTTTTCCCCGTTATAAGGAGTTTAGTTATGGAAAGGCGACAACCGTTTTAATTTGGTGCAAATATGGAAAAAAACTCCTTATTTGTAAAAATTATGATTAAATAAATACAAAACATCTGCAACATACATAAAAATGTACACAAATTGTAATTTAAAAAGAAAACTCATTTCCAGGAATCCTGTTTCCATTCTTGCATTGTGGGTGTGAGTTTGCAGCTCCAACTCTATGCAAGTTTTTCCCAAATATGCATGTTTCATACTTCTACATTCCCATCACACACACAGCCAACTAATCTCGTTCATCTAAATGCTGATTCCGTAGGTGACTTCAGTCAACAGAAAAAGTTTGTAGTGCACTGATCCCTTTGTCACAACTCTTTCTGGTTTAAAAATAGTGTCTGGACTAGTTTTTGGAATACATAAGAGTATTATTTATAAACTGAGTTTTCCCCAATTTTTTCATTTTTATATTTTGTATTTCAATTTTGCCAAATCTGAGCAGAGGATCTGATCAGGACTAAATGCCAACACTGTTCCGGTAGCTATTGATGTTTGTTTGACTGATTGGCTCTTTTCTGTTTCCAAAGATGTGTGGCTGCTCAAAAATCACAGGTGGAATCTAAAATCTAGTGAATCACACATCATCACTCAACATGGACGGTCACTGAAGGGTTTAAGGGTTGAACACATTCAAACTGGGACACCAGGATGTTTACACACGAACAGTGTATACGTTTTCCATCACACTAAACTAGTAAAATGGGTTAGTTGGGTAGTTGATCAAAAGCAATGGTCTAATGAGTGCGTGTTCAGTCTCCTCCAGTTACATCCCTAATGCCTTTATGATGAAAAAAAACAAATGATGAAAAAAGCTGTTTGAATCTTGTTTCTCTTTGCGTTAATGTTATAAATGTATACATGTGTTGTACAGAAGTAATCACAAGCAAAATGGCATATTATTTTGTGCAATTGATTTATATTTTTATAGTATTTAAACAGTTTTTGGTCAGAGCATTGTGCCAGATGTTTTTATTTTGAGGTGCAGGACTGTAAGGGGTCTTATCTATACTGTTCAGTAGGTTCAAGGATGGGGGAAAGTCTACTAATAAAAATATTGTTGGCATTCATTACAGTGTCTTCTTAAAGATATACTATATATATATATATATATATATATATATATATATATATATATATATATATATATATATATATATATATATATATATATATATATATATATATATATATATATATATATATATATATATATATATACACACACACACACACACTACTAGCATTTTGTCGCCAGGAGACGCTTCGTATTCCACCTCATTTTGCCTTTGATGGCGTATTTCAAGGTATTTTTAGGACTCTCTTCTTTGTTTTAAGCTAAAAACTGTGCCACCGCGTTCTGTGTTTCACCTTCTTGACATTTTCCTACACAATGAATCAAATAAAGCCACTTTCATCACTTTTCAAACCTATTTTATGCGCTCTCTTTAATAAAAGGGAGCTGGCGCGTTGTTCCGGTCACGTGACAGTCACCGCCATCTTGGATATCAAACTTTGCTACGCACAGCTGCGTGATAACCACCATTGTGGTAAAAATCGCAAATATTATACACATAAATGGCTTGTTGTGTAGCCACGGGGTGCTCCAATCGTTCGAACAGAAAGGATCTGTCGTTTTATCGCTTTCCGAAGGATCTAGAGCGAAGAACTTTATGGATTTCAGCCGTTAATCGTGGAGAGTGGGAGCCCACGGAGTACTCCAGATTGTGTAGTCAACATTTCATTTCCGGTAGGTAAACACTTTAATGTTTAATATATCACAATATATACAAACGCCATTTTACGACTTAACTGTAGTTCTATAATAGCATGAATTAGGATTAAAACATATTTAGTTTTGCATCCTCAAGGATCGTGTCCGTGCTACTAGCATAAACCTAAATTATTTTAAAACTTCACTGCTAGATTGGCGTTACTTGGTTGATCCGTTCAGTATGTACTGCATTAATATAATCGCTTACAGGGGAAAAAAGCAACGACCCGCAGTCTCCAGACTACGTGCCATCTTTATTTGGCTCCGATAAAACGCAGAAGAGTTCAAAACAAAGGGCAGCCAAGAGGATCGAGCGTTCAGCCATGAAATTAAAGAAACGCGATCAGGTTTGCGGGACACAAATCAATTGATAATAAAAGTGTTCACGCACGAGTGTTTTCAACTTTAACCCTGTGTGTTTTATTCCAGAAAGATAGGCTGACGGCTGCTAGTGTGCTGCTGGGTCTGGCCATGGCTGCTGCTCCAGCTGACGTCACTGACCAGCAAAACACAGAGCAAAGTGATCAAGACATACTAAATGATCTCCTACCAGACCTACAAACAGACGTTCAGGAGGAAATCACTGATCCAGCAGATGTGCAGGAAGAAGATGAACTGGAGGAGATTTCAGATGAGGAGCCTGAAACAATAACAGGTTTACTGATATTAAAATTCTTCTTAACCGCTTAATTCTCTGTTTGGTCACTATCAGGTGGAGCTTAAGTCCAGCAGTCATTGGCTGAGACCCGGGGAACACCCTGGACAGGCTGCCCGTCCATCCCAGTGACACACAGACACACACGGATGGTTTAGAGTTTCCATTTAACCTGAAATGCATGTTTTTGAGCTGTGGGATAACCAACACATGCACAGGGAGAGCATGCTAACTCCACGCAGAAAGGCTGCAGCTAGAATTCAACCCTGTTGTGTTTTGCTGTGCAGCCACACAGCCCACACATCCACTCGCTCCTACTGAACCAGCGCTGAAACTTATGAATAACTGCACATCCTATAGGCAGCTGTAGACATTGTTGTAGTTCTGTAGTTCGTGCTGGCATGACTCTGACATGGGCAGGATGAGAAATCTCCTGAACTGTTCCTAAACTACTCCATGATCTTGCACAGTGGTTGGAGGACATTAGTATCTACTGGGAAGCTTCTCATGTTTGCATGCATCCTTATTTGTCCGTTACAGCACAGATGCAATATGTGGTTTGAATAAAATTTTCCCAGAGTAGCATCTAATAAAATCTCATAGCAGTCAAAACTAATTCTTTTAATAATGCACTTGTGTATTTTGTTGCTTCACAGAACTTCCTCCACCTGAAGCTCACCTACAGATGAATGTGAAGGATCAGAGGGAGGGCACTGATGATCACAATTACTTCATAAGCTCTGCTACATGTGACAAAGGGACGCAGTGCAACAAGGAGCCCCTTTACCGACACCTGCTGCGTACAGACATGCTGTGTCGTCTGTACACCGGCTTGTCTCTCAGTGCTTTCCACCAACTCACCAGGAACCTCTTGCCCTTTAACGCTCAGATCTTTGAGCTGGACCCCATTGATCAGCTGCTGATGACGCTGATGAAGCTCAAGCTCAACTTGCTCCTGGAGGATCTGGCAGAGAGGTTCGGCGTGTGTCCGAGCGGCGTGAGTAGAATAGTGTCACACTGGATTGACTTGATGGAAATATGCATGAAAAGCTACATCCCGTGGCTGTCCAAGGAGACGATAGCTGGAACGATGCCCCAGTTCTTCAAAAGCCACTATCCTGGTACCACCTGCATTGTGGACATCTCAGAAATCAAATTGAAGAAGCCCAGGCGGCTGGACTGCTGGGGGGACTCCTTCGTGCGTTACGACGACGAGGACACAGTGAAGTTCATGGTTGCCTTTGCACCTTGCGGGCTGATCATGTTCATCTCTGGAGCATACGGAGGGAAATGCAGCGACACATTCATCGCCTCTGACTCGGGATTTCTCAGGTACCTCCAGCCTCTGGATGAGGTGATGGTTGAAAGGAACTTCATGATAAGTGACGCACTGAACGAGAAGGGAGTGAAGCTGGTCATCCCCGCTTGCTCAAAAGGACTCACCCGATTCAACAAGGACTCGGCTCAAAAGACAAGCGTCTACAACGTGACAATCCACATGGAGCGCGTGATTTGTAGGCTGAAATATTACAGGATCTTGTCAGAGAGCATGCCTAGCAGCCTGACTTCAAAGACTGATCAGATCCTGAGAATCTGCGCCGCTCTGTGTAACATACGTGGAGAGAACTTGCACGAGGAGCTAGAATGAGATCTAGTGAAGGAACAGCTGATCATTCATAAATCCCTCACTAACTCATTATCATAACCGCTTATTCCTCAGTATGGTCACCGGGAGATGGTGTCTTACCCCAACAGGAGGGGCACAGCCTGAACAGGCCACCAGTCCATCAGAGGGACACAAACACACAAAGCTAGTCACACCTAGCATAGAAATTAGACTAATTGTTGCAGTAGCAAAAAGTTTTGCTCTGCAGATCAGTCTAGCCTCACTCCATTGATGTCTCAGCAGGTCTACCATTGGGTCAAGTGGTTTTAGGTTCTGCAGGGTTTTCCCCATCACTTCATAAGCCTGGTGGCCCACCAGGCTTTGCTTGGCCACCCGCCAGGTTAAGCGTCATTCCCCGCCCCCCTCCGTGTCACCGTGTCCGCTGACACGAATGGCACAACAAAACTAGAGCTCTCCATCAGCTGATACTGGTGAGAAACAGCAGTGGAACGTGTGCAACCCCCCCCCCCCCCCCCACCGCTCTCATGGAGGAGCGCTGCGGTACGCGCGACCCTCCCCCCTCCCGACGGCAGAATCCGCCAGGCTTAACTCATTTTCTGGGGAAGCCCTGTTCTGCCAATCACAGAGCTCTATGTTCGTAGAGAGATTTTGGGCTGGCTAAAACCAGCACTGTGACAGAGAAAAACTACAAAAATGGCATCGGCTCAGGAATGGTGCTTATTTGAAACGACTTTGGCATCAACTTTGGTCTATTTAGACTCAGGCTTTTCTTTTTAGGCAGCCAGGATTTGAACCTGCAAACTTGTCACTGTATGTATAGTGTGCAATCACTCAGTGTGTTTACACGCGTATCTAAGTCGATCTAGGTCCATCTTAAGTAATAAACCTGGAGCATTTTTTTCCTAGTTTAGTTCACTCCTGTACAGAAGGTGGCGACATGCGCCCTTTCATGTTGGCATTCTTCCGGTTAGCTTATAGCAGGGCTATTCAATTCCGGTATCCAGCAGGTTTTAGTGCTTTCTCCAGTCCAACACACTTGATTCCGTGGTTGAATCACCTGTGCAGCAGCTCATCGGGCTCTGCAGAAGCCTGTTAATCGCCAGCTAATTGAAATCAGGTGTGTTGAAGCTGAGTTAAAACCACAACGTGCTGGATACCGGCCCTCCAGGCCCAGAATTGAATAGTCCTGGCTTATAGCAACACAGATAGTAAACAGACACAAGAGTTAAGTTCCCGTCTACATGTAGATGCAGTTGGTTTCGTACCTCATTATGTGGGTACTTCAGCTGTATTAGAATCAGTTCACCTTCAGCAAGATTTTGTGTTTACATGCATTAAAACCCCCTCGACTTCAGTCTATTTAGGGCAGGGTGTCTCAACCTTGGTCCTCAGCGCCCCCCCTGTCCTGCATGTCTTCAATGTCTGCTTCAAGCACACTTGATTTACATATTTGAATAGCCTCCTCAGGAGGACATCAAGTGCTGCAGAAGCCTGTTAATCAGTCATTAATTTAAGTCAGGTGTGGCAGTATAGAAACACTAGTGTTTGAAAGGGCAACATGGAAAACACGTAGGACGGGGGCACTGAGGACCAGGGTTGAGAAACCCTCATTTTGGGCAATAGTTCGGTTTTCTGGTGCGCATGTAAACACACTGATTGAAACCACAGCTGCCCTGGAGCCCTCTGACCAACACCAACAGCGATGTCTTGTCCAAGGACACAACGACTGACTCCACCCACCGGTTCCAGGGCGAACACCTAACCCCGGAGCCAGCGTCGCCCTAAGTTGCCACAAACTGCACCACCCTTTTTTTTATATATTTCACAGTTTTTTTTTTGCGTTTAAATATGTAAATACTTGTAGGTATAAGCCAAAATATGACTAACAGAACTGAATTCAGTATTTTCTCAGAGGTTCATTTTTAACATGACCATTTTGTAACATTATAAAAATAAAGTGAGAATAGAGCTCAGTTTTTGTTTTTCTTTATTTGTTTTTTTTTGACAAAAATAAAAACACTAAACATCGATTTAAATCTTGTAAATAAAACGGTAAATAAAAACAAATAGTCAAACAAAATCAACTTTATGATTGTTTGCAACATTTAATCAGTAACAAAAATGTGTAGTTTCATCTTTACTGGTAAATAGATAAATGGTAAAAAAAGGTAAATCCCAAACAGTCAAGTGGTACAATTCATACTTTAGTGTCCCGTATGGAAGCCTATTCCTGCCACTGATTACACAAAAAATCTGACTTGGCTGTCTCAATGATTTCAGACGAGATCGCTAAGTCATAATTGTGAGATCCAAGTTCTTTTTTTTTTATCAAAAGTGGCCTGAATGGGCTTCCATACTCTTCAAAGTTCCAGGTCAAGAACTCTTTTTATTTATTTTTGTCACTCGAATCTAAAAATGACTTGAAGAGGAAAAAGACCACAAGAGTTTTGTTTTTATGTATTTCTCTTTTATTTAATTTCCTGATTGAAATGTAAGGTCATAATTTGTCATTCATCACATTACATGGCATGATGCACCAGGTCTACTACACCCATTTACAGGAGGAATACACGGAAACATACACAAGGTTTTACAACAGGGAAACAGGAAGTTTAGATCATTGCACTTACAACAGTGAATGGAACACTTTGTTGTCATTTTTAGACAACCCCTTTTTTCTGGGTTTTTTCTTCGCTCAGTTGGCTTATTTTATTTCATTGTTTAATTCCCTCTCTCCATCTCCATAAAACAACCTGAAAATGACTTGGAAGCCGGAATATATTCTTTTTTTTCCTGTTTTGTTTATTTTTGATGTAATCTGGTTTAAACAACACAACATGTATAGAAACTCTACACAGACCAATATTTTTTATTTCCATATCCAAATACAATGTTTTTTTAATGAGCTTTTTTTAATTAGTCCGCACAAGCCAGCCACGTACACACACGATGCAATTTTGTCAATTATTACGGTTCTTGTTGATTCGTTTTCATCCTTTTCGGACACAGAAAACACAAGTAGTGGCAGCAGGGATCGCTGTTTGCGGTGCGAAGGCCTCTCGTGCCTCTTGTGTACGTGTGTGTGTCCATGTATTTATTTAAGTGTGTGTGTTTGAGATATACATGTTGTACAGGACGTGCCCTTCATGGCATTTACATTTTGTCTGTTGGACGCAGACTCGCTTCGTATCTGGTATTTACACTGGAACGGGGATTTTTGAAGGTCAAAGGTCGAAGAGGGAGGGCGGGTTGGAGGTTGGGGTGGTAATGGTTGAGGAGGAAAAGGGGAAGGGTGTTCAGGTCATGCATTTGTCATTTTTCTTAGATGATTCATCACTGGTGAAAGAAAAAAATTGTTCTTTGATGGTGAAAAATGCACATTTTTCAGCATTCTTCTTCACTTACAACCTCTCATCCATAGGAAACATTTATTTATATAGATCATATATTTAAATATGTATATTCATTTGTTCTAAAACCTTTCTCGGGTCCTGTTGCACACTGACGACCTTTAAGACCAACAGCAGCAGCAGAGGGGACCACTGTTTGCCCTCCGAGCATTTCATGCTACGTTTTGGTTTAACCAACCTACAAACAGCCTGGATTTCCCCAAAGTATTACAAGCTGCACTTTAACCCCCCACCCGTAAAGTTTGATCCTTTGTGTAAAACGCCATGGAGCTACATTTCTCAGCTCATTATCAGTAAATCTGCCCAGGTTCTGAGTGAAAACAAATTTTGTTCAAGTGGAAAGCAAAACCTAGAGCTTCAAACTTTGAGAAAAACTAGAATTTGCTGATTTGGTGCACTCTTTTAGAGCATATCACATTATTAGTCGGTCCTTTTCTTTAAACACTTCTGGAAACCCAGGCTGTGGAATCCCGACGGTGATTTCTGTGGTCTGAGTGTAAGTCCGTCGGGGTATAAAAAAAAGACACCATGCAGTGTACAGACAAGAGACCATGACTGACTAGAGGGCAGTAACAGGATGGCTTTCTTCGGTGACCGGTATTGTAGTATAAAAGCCCTTACTGCGATGCATATTTAAGTCACCTTCAGTGGCTGTATTCATGCAGGAGTAAACAACAACAAAAGGCAGAAATCCAGCAAATAAAGTGGCGTGACGTCGTTTCGGCACGGTTCTAGTTGACTGTGTGCTTGTGGCTGTGCCATTCCCTTATTACTGATTCTCTCTGGTTAACAGCAGCCTTCTGTGCCGCGAAGCCTTCAAAGTCTGATTTCCTGCATGAACACATTCATCATCTAGTGTCTCCTCGTCTCCGCGCTGCATTTAGTGTGTGCTTTCCTGAGGCAAAAGTGATTGTGGGTCGTTTTTATTGAAGTTTTTATTCGTTTTCAACAAACACGTACGACGATACGAGGGAGTCGGTGTTGATTCGGGTCAACTCTTGCACACGAGGTTTTTGTTTTGTTTTCTTGGACGTCTCTAATCTAGTGGCAGTGGGTTTTTGGGTTTCCTGGACTCGACGTGCAAGTCGACAGCTCCAGACAGAACCAGAATAATCAGATTATTAATCCTGAGGTTGAATTCAACTGATATTATTTAAGTTTCTTTCTTTCTAAACAAAAACAACAGGAAACAAGTAGAAATTGCAACATGTTCAATAAACTCTTTGTCTTAACTGAGTTTTTATCTTTCAGATTTTTAACAGTCTGATTATTTTGGTTGTGTAATAAATAATGTTAGCGTCATTCATAAGTACATTTTCTCATCATAAAGTATTTTTAATAGATTCTAATCATAAATCGGTGCTTGTTTCTCTTTAATACCATTTACCTTTCTATCTGCTCTCAGTATGATAAAATAAAGATTTATTTAGATGAATTATTCCATAAATGTTTCTAAAAAATATAAATTTATATAAATATAATAAACAGCTAAGGGACTTGTGAAGCTGAAATCAGAGTTTTAAAGACATTTTAGGGATATTTTTATGTAAACATTTCTTTTAAAATCTGAATATATGTAATATGGTTTTAAATGATTTATTCGACTGCTTCTGCTGCTCATTCAGATCAGATGGATCATAAATTTGTGTCCATGAATGACTCAGAATTTTGCACGTTGCTAATAAATCTTGAATCTTTAATGAAGCTAAAACTACACACCAGCTCCAAACTCACTATTGCACAGATAAATTCATTGTTGCAACACTTTGAATAGAGCTCCAGTAGTTTGTTTGGTGAAGTCTAATCCGTGTCTTAAGGATTCCTTCAACATTCCCTGCAGAAACATTCCTTGCCCAGTAAGAGCTACTTATAATATATTCTCTTCATTAGAAAAGATAACTTAAAAATATTCTTCAACCCCTGAGCAGCCACAAACTACGGTAGATTTATGTTTTTGAAAAGGAAAAAAAAAATCTGGGCATGGTTTTTGCATCCTCACTTCAGACATGTTAAACTACACTGTAAAAAATGAAATGTTGAATTTACTTAATCAAGTTATGTCAACTGGTTCAACTAAACCGAGTTTCTTAAATGTAACAAGTATAAGTTAATATATGTTATGCTAAAAGTAAATGTAAATTATTCTTTACTTTAACCCCGGCTTTCCACTGGAATGTAAAGGCAGCACGTAACATAAAAAATACGTTTTACCCATGAGCTCCCATCCCACTGGGAGCGTTTCAGACACAAAATGGCAGCAAAAGAGTCGACGCTGGTGGTCCTGCAAGGTCACGAATGACGGGAAAATTGCAACACTATGCTTGATTCTGGCAGATAACAAGCAAAGAGAAAGATGGCAGCATGTATCCATAAAGGTCTGTGGTTTATTTTCTGTTCTGTTCTCTTTGGCTACTGAGGCTTCACAGGTGACAACATACTTTTTTTGCTAGTTAGAGTAACTAAACCCCAAAATAACTTCATTTTTTTTGCTAATTAACCATATATTTGGGTCTTTGTAAATGCAATCTTTCTGTTTCTGTGTATTTTTTGACATGTTTGTGTAAACTTGATTAAATCTAGAATCTAGGTCTAAAAATGTCGTAGTGCTGCCCCCTGCGGCAGAACAGCAACTACTGCATGTTAAACTTGTGATTGACTGGGGCTGGAACAATTCACGTCATCGGTACAGTCTCCTCCCACTCCCCCTCCCTCCCAGGACGGAAATTCCCCACACTTGGCCATGCCGCTCTGTGCCTCCTGGCAACGCCCACTTTCATGGCATTTTTCAAATCTTGACTAGGGGTGGAGTTACATTTTCTGATGGTGTGCAGTCCCTCTTTAAGCAACTGGAAATTTCCACAATTCTTTTATTTTGAAAGTGTCTGCACGTTATCCACTGCTTTTGTGTTTGACTTGCTGCTGAGCTTGACGTGTTCTGGAAGCGTAGCGTGTAAAGACTAGACACGAAGTGTAAATTTAGCAGAGCGACGAGTCCCTACGCTTCTGGGTACAATTCCTGGTGGAAATGCGCTCATCGACCAGAACAGCATCTAATTACTGCGCTCTACGTTTTGTGGACGTTAAGCAACACTCACACGTGCGGTGGAAAGGCCCGGTTAAGCTAGGTTTAGTTAAACTAGCTAACACGACACAAATAAATTCAACATTTCATTTGTTAGAGTGTAATCAGAACCTGTAAAGGATGAAGGCTTCGACGTTTCACCACCAATTCAACACTACTAACAGCGAGCAGCTTTGGTTATTGCTAAAAAGAATCAAAGAGATTGTTCTCATTAAAAAAAAAGATCATTAACTAATTAAAAATTCAACTGATCGTCCTCAATTTTAATTTTATGCAACATTTCCTTGAAAATTTCGTTCTACGCTAGAGCCACAAACTGTCAGGTCACACGCTGCAGCTGTCGTGAACACACCTCTGACTCGTAACTCACGAGTGATAAACAGTGACTGACTTTTACCATCATTCTTCACGTTTCTTTACCTCCTCTTGTTTCTGTTTTTCCCAAATAGACTTCATTGCATAGAACGACTGGAGATGAGAGGTCGCCTCCTTTGCCTGCAATAAGCGCTGTGGTTTGACTTTGTGTTTTTCCTCTTCCACGCTGGACGATGATTGTTAAGTAACACACACACGCGCGCGCACACACACACCCACACCAACGTACAAACATTAGGAACAGAACAATATAGAGGTGACTTTGAGGTTTTTCCGCGCTGGGCAGCATGCGAAGGTTTCCCAGCGAGCGTTCACAAAGACAATATACAGCAGACGTCCGTGTCGCCCGAGGCCTCGCGTCGTTCGGCCTGACGTAGGAGTTGCACACTGGGTACCGAACCACACATTCCCACAATGCACTGCAGGAGCAACAGCAGGGCGAATGCTGAACCTGAGAAATTCCCGTGATGACTGACAGTCTGAGAAAAGATTTTTGAGGGAAGAGGGGTTTGGGTTAGAGGTCTGAACTCGCACCACCGTAGAAAACAGAACGTAAAAAGGCGAGCGACTTTGCGACAGCGTTTCTTTTTGGTTCAACAGTCACATGAGAGCAGATTTGTTCTTCTTCTTTTAACGACACCGTTTCAAGTGTGCTTTCAGGTCGATCACATTTGACAGAGTGAAGACACATGCGACACATTTTCACAGAGATCAATGTCCATCTCTTGGAGGACCCAAACCCCCCTCACATGTGGCGACGACCAGTCCAGTCCTGCTTCTCAGTGCCTCCCTGCTGCCCTGCCCTGCAGTGCTGTCGGATCAGACTCCGGCTTAAAGCGGCAGTCCGATCCGGTGGCTCAACGACATCCACGAGTAAAAGGTTCTGGGTGGTGCCAAACCTTGTCGTTTCTTTTTCTGGGGTATACTCCTGTGGTCTGCTGCATCTCAACAGCATCAGCGACGTTGGCGCTCGTTGCTCGGTGTGTGTTTGAGAAGAACATCTGTGGTAAATCAGACATATGGAGTCAACACGCTTCTGTTCAAACAACTGTCAAACCGACACCAGATTGTGCTATTTCTTACGTCTTAATCTATTGCTTTTATGATTATTGATCGTAGAGAAGCGTCAAGAGAAAAAAATCACCAGGGGGCTCGATTAAAGTAACAAATCTTACAAAACAAATGAAATATAAATAATATTACAAACGATTATATTTAAAAAAATATAAATGAATCTTTCTGTGGTTGCTGCTCCAGCTGATGTTACTACATAAAAAATATCAGAAATAATGTAAAAAAAAAAACAACAAAAAACAACCTTTTGCACTAAAATAAACGATTTAAGATAATTAAGGCAATTAAGTGACCTGCAACTTAAAAACAAGGCAAATAGAGAATACGTAGATAAAATGAAAAAAGCAAACAGGAGGAGCATTTGGAGACAAACACGTGCCACAAATACTGCAGGTATATGTTGTCTTCATGGCTTGGTAATGGCTGAACAACACCCCTACAACATACGGCTTCATTCTCAGAAACCTAACCCTCATGCACGCACACAAAAATCTCCTCGTATTCCCAAGGCCAGATCCTCGTGTGTTGCTTAGCTTTTTCTCTTCTTTGCTATTTTCTTTAATTACTTTTTTTTCCAGCTAAAATCTGTTTCCCGAACTCTTTATGGCCTTTGCTATGACGAAACAGTGTAAGGTCTCGGTTAGAAAGTTCCTTTTTTAAATCCACTATGCTCTTAATTATTTCATCTTCTTTGAATAAAATCACAAATTGTGGATCGTTGGAGGGAAAGAACAAAGAATCAGGAAGAAGCGCACAGTCCCAATCTGGAATGTGAGAAAGAAAGAGGGAGAGAGAAATCCGTGGACAGAAACGCACGCCGATGCGCTCGCTCTGCGTCAGCTGCGTTCTCTGTTTTTCATTCGTTGTGACATTGTTGATAGCTGTGTTTCCTTCTTAGTGTTTGCCGTTGAGACTTCTTCAGTACAAGAAAAACCTGCATTCCCAGAGTGAGTTTGCACTTTTCCCAGCTGTTTTCCCCTTTGCTTTGAAAAAGAGACAGAAAAGAGAAGAGAAGTGATGTTTCTGTTCCCAGAGCCAAAAATGTCCCAAAAAAAAGTACGTCCCAACTGGGGTGAAAAACAACTTCCATTGGTTTGATATGATCCAGACCTCCCGGCTCCCTCTACTGGCATGGAGGACGATTTCTCTTGTTGTTTCTGACCTCCAGCTGTTTTTTTTTATTATGAGGGGATGCAGATGTGTGTCGATGCTGCAGATTTATTTAGAGGCTGCTGCACAACATTATGGCTCACTGGCTGGAGGGGGTGTGGAGTGAAAACAGGAGAGTTCCTCTGAAGGTGGAAAGTGACTTGAACTGATCTGAAAGAAGAACAAAAGGGGTTTCACAAAATCACAAACATTGATGTTTTATCTCCATAAATAACACAAGCCTGGAAGAGTTCTGCTGTGTGGTGGAGTTGCTAATGCTAACGGTTAGCTCCGCTAGCTGAGACGTTCTCTGCGGTTTCCTGGACACTAAACCAACAACAGCCTTTCCCGTCTCGAGTCAAGACGGGTGAGTCGATGAATGTCACGTGACAGTGTGACGTAGATCTGTCAGGCTTTTCAGATCCTCGAGTTTCACCGTCTGTTTTCTATCAGAAGCTAATGCAGGAGATATGTGTAGGAGACTATTTTCATGTTCATCCTGCATGAAAAACTCAAGAGTGACTGATTGTAATTAGAGATAATAATTAAAAATGGTTTTTCAGTGTTCCACACCTTTAAATTATTTGTGATTTATAGGAAAAGCAAAAAAGAAAGAAAAAATTGCAGCGCAAAAATTGTCGTCCTGGTTTGTGTGAATAAACAAAACAGTATGTTATTTATAAAAATAACATGCTTGAACATAGCAAAAACCCATCTGCATCAGGATGGTCACCATGTAATGACCAAAGCTGGCCACTAGATGGCGAATAAGACTCAGTCTTTCAGCTTCAAAATCCTTTTCAATACAATTAAAACAAAAACTGAATTTGTTTCCCCCAACAGTTAAACATTTAATTGTCTAATCAAGAAGTAGGACACATGCTGGGTCACTAAGTAGGATGTTTCCTATCTTCATAATCCATTTGAAGCCTGTGTATTTAAGTTTCCTTTGCTGCAGCATGTCCCTGCATAAAAACCAATTATCTGTAGAATCAAGCATGAAGCCATGATGTTCTCTGTTCGATAAAAACATCTCGTCCACAGAGACTATTTTGTCCTTTTTCAGAGTTCAAAGCAAGTCGTTATCTGCCTTCCTTCAAGCGTGCACGTCTCATTCGTACATTTCATCTTTAGATTGGAAGAGCTTTCCTCCCTCAGATCGTCTCGATGACCGACACAAAAATGATACAAACCACTGTGGCAACAAGGAATAAAATAGATACAAAAATCAACATTGCATAAAAAAAGATTGTTCCCATGTTTATAAATACATAAAGCAGCTGAATTAGGGAACAGAACAAGGCCAGAGAAAGTCCTAACTCAGCCTGTCAGCCAGCGCTGACACAGCACCTGTGGGGACATCATGGGAAGGACGCGGGTTATGGTGCTGCTATAAAATAACCCGAGAGATATGTGGTTTGTACACTTTGGCTCTTCAGAGTCGCTTCAGAGCCCTTAATGATTTTACTATTGAAGCAAACAAACAGCTCAAACTGAGCTCTTATCCATTCAAACTGAATTACTCACAATGCAGACTTACTTCTGCCAAGCTTCAAAGCTTTATTGTCATGTGTAGTAGGACACATGTTTTCCTGCACAATGAAGGTCCTACTTTGCTGCCGACATTAATTATACCAGAGTATAATTAAAGGTGCATTATGTAAGAATGAAGTTAAAATGACATCTTGTGATCAAATGCGGTTACTGCAGTCTGCTTTTCTTAACATAAATGTTCCATCCATCAGTTCTTTTTAAAACACAGAAAAGGTTTATTTACCTGCAACGTTTCGTTTGCGGCCGCAAACATCATCAGGCTTAACATAAATGTACTTTCTCACTGCTGTTCTGTGAGTTTAATTGTTGTTGCCAGTTACAGTGTCAGAAGATTCTAGATGACGAGATGCGAAGACGAGAATTACAGTCAGATGTTAAACACATTGTCATGTTTGGGGCTAGTAGTCTTGGGTGTTTTACGGTAGGGAGCTCTTGCTACACCTATTATTGTTGTTGCTGGAATAAAAGGCGTTGAACACTCATTTAATCAGTACATTTGCAGTGGTCTGTAGTAGGAATGAGTGCCTTGTAAATAGAACTCTGGGGAAAAAAAAGCACAGGTGCACCTTTTTCAGGAGCTTGAAGTGAGCCACATCACAGCTGAGCTTCAGACGGCAGGATTTCCTGATATTTGGACATCTCGTCTCCTATTGGCTAACAGCAACACGGCTCTACAACTGACTCCGTTTGCGCTGCAATGTTGATGTTTTACCTCCACAAACCACACAAGCCTAGAGGAATTCTGCCATGTGAAGTTGCTAATGTTAGCTTCCACTAGCCAAGGCATTCTACAGCAGGGGTGTCCAATCCTGGTCCTGGAGGGCCGGTATCCTGCATGTTTTAGTTTGAACTCTGTTTCTGCTGCTGCACAGATGTTTCAACCACCGAATCAAGCCTGTTGGAGCAGAAAAACCACAAAACCTGCTGGATACCGGCCCTCCAGGACCAGGATTGGACACCCCTGCTCTACAGTTTCCTGGATGCTATACCATCAACAGCTTTCCCCGTTGTGAGCCAAGATGGGTGAGTCAATGAATGTGAAGCGACAGTGTGACATAGATCTGTGAGGCTTTTCTAATCCTAGATTTTCACCGTCTATTTTCTATCAGAAGCTAATGCAGGAGATAGGTGTAGGAGACTATTTTCATGTTCAGCCTGCATGAAAAACTCAGAGTGACCCATTATAATCAGAAATAAGATTTAAAAAAAGGTTTTTCAGTGTTCCACATCTTTAAGGATATTGGTAGGAATTTTATGTGTCATCCTACTCCCTTTCAAACGTATTTTGTGTATTTATGCTTCAGTCATGGTGGGTTTTTCTGAGAACGCGCGTATAAATAGGTAACCTGTGTTGAGTTATAAATATTTTTTATGAGTTTTAGTTAAATATTTTTCAAAATAGCTTGTGTGTTATGACACATTGTATCCTATAGCTGGGACGCAATTTTGGGGGGGGACGGGTGGGACATGTCCCCCCCACTTTTTCAAAAGGCAGTTTTGGTCCCCTGCACTTTTTTCCGTCCAAAAACAATATTACGCTCCATTAAATGGATTTGGTTGAGCACTAGGACCGAAACGGAAACCGGTTTACTATTAGACCCGCCCAAAAGCTAATCTATTGGCTCTGCTGATACTTGCTAACGTATTATTGGCTGTTGCTGCTGTCACTCAAGTTGGAAACAGTCAGAACGTGCTCACGTTGTTTTGCTAGTTTGGAGCCGCTAGGGAACACCGGTACTGAGTCACATCGTCAACTAGACGCTGTGTAATATCAGAGCTCAGCTCAGCTTCCATTACATAACATTTGAATAAGTGTTCATTTGTGAGTCTTTGGTAGTTAGGCACAGCCAGGAGGCAGCATGTCAAGAAAACGAAAAGTGGATATAAGAGACTTCTTTCAAAGTCAAAACGTAAGTTGGACATGTGACACCCCTGCATTAAGCTCAGACTCACCTCCTCCTTCACAAACATACTCAAAACTAACTTTTACAAACTCATCTCCTCCACATAACTGACTCCTCAGACACAATTTATTCGTATTATCATAATTATTTTTTTATTATTATTACTATTATCATCATAATTATTATTACTAGTAGTAGTAGTAGTAGAAGTGTAACTTCAAAACTTTTATCATTTAACTTTATTGTAAACTTATCTATTGCAATGTATATGTTCACATTAAAATGCTCTGAAAAATGAACAGTATCATCATCGTCAACAGATTTTTTAAGCTTAATGTCAAAGATGTACACTTTTCATTAGATTTATCTTATTTTTTCCATTTATTTTTTGTGTGTTGAAATGCAACAACTGTTTAAACACTTTTAAGGGGAAAAACATATCTAATATGTTTTTATACACTCAAATGTTAGGGTGATGATCATGTGTAAAACATTAGTTCAGCATGTCCTCTAACACAGCAAATGAACAAACGGCCAGATCTCAGGAGGGACCGTTTATGTATAAATAATTTTTATACTTTTGACTAGGCCTGGGAAAGTAACACATTTTGCTGGACGATATTTTGTCCAACAAATTGTTGATGATAAACGATATCATTGTCAACATTATCTAGACCAAAATAACCACTAATAAAATGTTAATACAGGTGCTGGCCAGTAAATTAGAATATCATCAAAAGGTTGAAAATATTTCAGTAATTCCATTCAAAACGTGAAACTTGTACATTATATTCATGCAATGCACACAGACCAATGTATTTCCAATGTTCATTACATTTAAATTTGATATTCATACGTGACAACTAATGAAAACTCCAAATTTGGTATCTCAAAAAATTAGAATATTCTGAAAAGGCTGAATATAGAAGACACCTGCTGCCACTCTAATCAGCTGATTTACTCAAAACACCTGCAAAGGCCTTTAAAAGGTCCCTCAGTCTTGTTTTGAAGGCACCACAATCATGGGGAAGACTTCTGACTTAACAGCTGTCCAAAAGACAATCATTGACACCTTGCACAAGGAGGGCAAGACACAAAAGGTGATTGCTAAAGAAGCTGGCTGTTCGCAGAGCTCTGTGTCCAAGCACATTAACAGACAGGCGAAGGGACGGAAAAAATGTGGTAGAAAAAAGTGTACAAGCTCTAGGGATAACCGCACCCTGCAGAGAATTGTGACGACAAACCCATTCAAAAATGTGGGGGAGATCCACAAAGAGTGGACTGCAGCTGGAGTCAGCGCTTCAAGAACCACCACGAGGAGACTCATGAAAGACATGGGATTCAGGTGTCGCATTCCGTGTGTCAAGCCACTCTTGAACAAGAAACAGCGCAAGAAGCGTCTCGCCTGGGCCAAGGACAAAAAGGACTGGACTGATGCTGAGTGGTCCAAAGTTATGTTTTCTGATGAAAGCAAGTTCTGCATTTCCTTTGGAAATCAAGGACCCAGAGTCTGGAGGAAGAGCGGAGAAGCACAGAATCCACGTTGCATGAGGTCCAGTGTAAAGTTTCCACCGTCAGTGATGGTGTGGGGTGCCATGTCATCTGCCGGTGTTGGCCCACTCTGTTTCCTGAGGTCCAGGGTCAATGCAGCCGTCTACCAGGAAGTTTTAGAGCACTTCATGCTTCCTGCTGCTGACCAACTTTATGGGGATGCAGACTTCACCTTTCAACAGGACTTGGCACCTGCACACAGTGCCAAAACCACCAGCACCTGGTTCAAGGACCATGGTATCCCTGTCCTTGATTGGCCAGCAAACTCGCCTGACCTTAACCCCATAGAAAATCTATGGGGTATTGTGAAGCGGAGGATGCAATACGCTAGACCCAACAATGCAGAGGAGCTGAAGACGACTATCAGAGCAACCTGGGCTCTCATAACACCTGAGCAGTGCCACAGACTGATCGAGTCCATGCCACGCCGCATTACTGCAGTTATTGAGGCAAAAGGAGCCCCGACTAAGTATTGAGTGCTATACATGCACATTCTTTTCATGTTCATTCTTTTCAGTTGGCCAACATTAGAGAAACAAACATTTTTTCATTGGCCTTTAGAATATTCTAATTTTCTGAGATACCAGATTTGATGTTTTCATTGGTTGTCACCTATAAATATCAAATTTAAATGTAATGAACATTGGAAATACATTGGTCTGTGTGCATTGCATGAATATAATGTACAAGTTTCACGTTTTGAATGGAATTACTGAAATATTTTCAACCTTTTGATGATATTCTAATTTACTGGCCAGCACCTGTATATCATAATAATGCAAGTACACCCTTTAAAATGCAACAAATAAACCTTCATTTAACATTGAAATGTCCAGAACCAGAACTTCTAAATGAATAAAAATAACAAACAAAAATTAAATAAAAAAGGAATCTCACTCCCTGTTAGAAAATGTTGCACCAAAAACAATAAAAAAAAGACCCAAAACAATAAATACAATGGCCTATCCATTGTCAACAGCCAAAACTGCACTTCAATAATGATAATAAATAAAAATAATAATAGAGTTGTACATTTTTTAACTTATATATATATATATATATATATATATATATATATATATATATATATATATATTGAGGATGGAAAAATTATTGAGATGGGCACGTGACGTGTCAAGGGGTCTTTACATAACACCCCCCACCCCAAATCCGCACAAGCCTGCTGTGTCCCCCCCACTTCTGAAATCAAAATTTCGTACCTGTCCTATAGCATCACTATTCCATACAAATACTCTACAAATATTCTAAAACACACAAAATATGTTCATTCTCATTTTGGAACAACCTTTGTTTTGTTTACATGTAATAAAACAAAAACAAAACAAAAAAACAACAACTGGCATACATGAAAAAAAAAACATCAAGGGACAAGGAAAAATTGGAAGAATATAAAAAAAAAAGCTGTTGAATTTCTGTATCAAGGCTGAATAATCAAATGGTGGACCTGAATCATCACCAAAAATCCCTCGCCTTTAGGTTCTGCTTCAAAACAGAAACCGTGATGCAACACAGAGGTAATAAGAGCATTCAGAGGCAGTCGACGCCGACATTAATGCGTCTGTCTTTGTCAAATAACTGACTGGCATCAGATTGAAAACATATAAATCTGGTCATTGTAAAAATCTTTACTGATATTTGTTCATATGTGAGATTGTTGTTAAAATCCATAAATTTCATATTTCACATTTAAATGTTATTACTATCCAAATCGTATCCTTGGGTTTCCTCTGGTTTCTTTGCTCCTTCATGAACTCCTGTTTCCTGGTGGGACCAGCACCAGTGCACATCTGAAAATAGATTTCTATTCATAATCACTGCCTTCCAGTTCCCTTTCCCACTGTGCCTGACCCAGATTAACAGCTTCAAACAAGCTGCACACATTCAAACTTAATCTGTTCCAGTGAATCGAGGGCCCCCGAAGGGCTGACACACACACACACACACACACACACACACACACACACACACACACACACACACACACACACACACACACACACACACACACACACACTCACACACACACACACACACACGCACGCACGCACGCACACACACACGCACGCAGGAAAACCATGCATGCACAGGGAGAACATGCTAACTCTACACAGAAAGGCCACAGTAAAGAAAAATGTCCATGAAGTACAAGAGGAGCAAAAAGTGTCCCCACTGCAGCACTCTTGTGAGGCAGTTCATTAATGCATCACACACAAACACACTCTCAGCCCAGCCTCAGATTATAGCACACGTGCAACACTGTGTTCACATGCTGAAATCCAGCAGCAACCTGAAGGTTTTCCTTCTCCCTGTTGCATCAAAAGCTTCAGAACCCACTGCAGTCAAGGCCGAAGCCCCACAAAACTTAAACAGGAGACATCTGACCATTTCTGCTTCTTAATCAGACAGGAAATATAAAAATGTGTTCTCATTTAACCGCGTCTCATCCCGTCTCATTTTAAGCTAGGTGTTGCAGAAGAGTCCAAAACCAGACAAAAATGGATGCTGTGACCAGCTCACAATGAAACACGTTCATCGTATTTTCCATTTTAACTTTTAAATTGACACTCCTTTAACAAATCTGAAATAAAATGGAGGTTGAGCTGTTTTGTGGCACCAACATGAAACCAGTTCTACGATGGCAGCAGCTAACACAGAGTCTCGTTAAAAGTGTGGAACAACCTAAATACTCACCAGAGTGCTCAGCCCTCCTCTCTGCCACCACCGTCTCTCTCCTTATCGTCTCTTTTTTAGTAAAACAAAAGCAGGGGGAATTTCACAGGTTTTCCTGGTACATGGCCTCATCACTTCATTTTGACGTTTTTATAATCCTGCAAGCACATAGGAAAATGTTTCTATTTAAGAAAGAAAAATGTATAACAAAATCCTCAATTAAAGTGTCCATTATTATCTTCCTTATTGTTAAATGTGCAGAAATGCATTTAAAGAAAATCAAGCCTCATGTGTGAATAAAGTTAATTTTAGAACTTATTTAAGGAAATGATGATAACCGGCTGCTTCCAGATTGACAGGGATCGTGCGTCGTGTGAGAAACAAGTTCTTGCTGTTAAATTCTCACCCGGCACATGCAGAGAAGTCGGGAGCAAAAATAAAACTGAGGACAGAAAAGAAGCACACGGCTTCAGGAGCATGTGACTGTTCTGTGTAAACCCCTTTAACCACCTTCCTCTCTACTGTCAGCAAGAGAAAAAACACACTTCTAGCTCGCTAACAACGTTCCAGGGATGTATATTTTATTATTTGAGACAAAAAAAGTCAGTTTCTTGCTATTTTTACATGAAACCTTGAATCTGCTCCCAGATGATCTCACTCCGACAAGCAGAGAAAGTGCTTTTACTCTTTTTTCCCTTTTGCATTATCAAATGCAATGTCAAATTTTGACAGTGCACGTTTTCTTTTCGTTTTGAAACAAACGTGAACGATACCAGCTGCAGCCTTTCTTGCAAAAAAATCTAAAATTTCAGTAGGAAAATGAAACCCGTCATCCAGGTTCTTGTTAAGGATTCTGTAGATGTAAGGTAGCTGTTTCTTTTTCTTTTTAATGTCTCAATTCAGGAGAATCAAACAAAAACACATACCTTTAGTTCATCATCTCAGAATAAAGAGGTAAACTTCTTCCCAAAACCAGAGATAGCTGCAAGAAACACGGTAAAAAGGGGGCTTTAAGTAACATAAAACAGCATGATTTCATAACTGCCCTGATATGAATAAGTTAGTTGTTAAGACAGAGTAGGATGTTGTGTTTTAAACTTAGATGCGGGCCAAAGCCCCGTTCAAAGCTACGTTAGCTGTTAGTTTTTGTACCTTCTCCCAGTTTTCCAGCCTGCTCAGCAGCTCCTCCAGGAAGGATCTTAGAGAACATGCCTTCTCCTTCCATGCCAGGCTGACCTGCGGCTGCACTGCCAATGCCCCCGGGTCTAGGAACCGCTTTGGAGCCTGGACCCAGCAGCAGAGGAAGGCAGCACCAGAAAAAGTACAAAAGACACAAAAAGAATAATAAACAAACAGTCCCTCAGTAACGTTACTTAATTCTTTGTTAAGCGTTAACAAACAAAGGGTTCTTTTATAAAGGTAACTTAGTTCATTATTAAGCTTTAATAAACAAACAGTCCCTTATTAACGTTACTTAATTAATTGTTAAGCATTGATCAACAAAGGGTCACTTTATTAACGTTACTTTGTTTATTAATGTTTAGTAATGAACTAACAGTCCCTTTATTAATGTTTCTTAGTTCATTATTAAGCATTATTAAACAAATAGTCCCTTTATTAATGTTACTTAGTTAATCGTTAAGCATTAATAAACAAAGGGTTCCTTTATAAATGTTCCTTAGTTCATTATTAAGCATTGATAAACAAATTGTCCCTTATTAATGTTAATTAGTTCATTACTAAGAATTTATAAACTAACAGTCCCTTATTAACGTTACTTAATTCATTGTTAAGCACTGATCAACAAAGGGTCACTTTTATTAACGTTACTTAGTTCATTATTAAGCATTAATAAACAAACAGTCCCTTTATTAATGTTACTTAGTTCATTATCAATTGTTAACAAACAGTCCCTTTATTAATGTTACTTAGTTCATTATTAAGCATTATTAAACAATAGTCCCTTTATTAATGTTACTTAGTTAATTGTTAAGCATTAATAAACAAAGGGTTCCTTTATAAATGTTCCTTAATTTATTATTAAGCATTGATAAACAAATTGTCCCTTTTTTAACGTTACTTAGTTCATTATTAAGAATTAATAAACAAACAGCCACTTTATTAATGTTACTCAGTGCATTAAGCATTGATCAATAAAGGGTCTCTTTATTAATGTTACTTAGTTCATAATTAAGCATTAACAAAGAAACGGTCCCTTGATTAATGTTCCCTTTATTGTTAAGTGTCTTTAGGTTAGCACAAAGAGATGGGGAGCGGGTGGTTGGGTTCTGCTAAGTAATGCATTACATAATATGATGAAACCGTTTTCAATACTTTAATTAACAGTTTATAAATGCTTAATAACGCAGTAAGTAACATTAAAGTAGCTTTCCAGAGTTTTCTATTTTCAGAAATTATGTATGGTTTTTCAGAAATCCATAAAAGTGATTATCTTGTCATGTAATAAGATTTAATGTAAGCAATACGTCTCTTTTTTGTTTTGTTTTTGCGAAGCACGCCCCCCGCCCCGCAGAGCTCAGTGCAATAGGAAACTGAGCACCGACCAGAACTAACCAATAGCGTTAGACTGCCGCTTAGATTTTTCAAATTTAAGGAACACCTCGGCTGATGCAGAGTTGATGAACTTTTCATGAACAAGAAAGTCTTTAAAATATGAGAACACAGCATGACATGAGAATAATACTCACAAAACAGCGTGTTTTAGATCTGTTTGTCGGCTACAGAAGCACATTTATAAACAAGAAACGTGAAGTCGCCATCTTAAAAGAGCAGAGCGACAGACTTTTTGTGTTATATGCTTGTCAGCCACTAGATGGTGCCATCGGAGAAGAGAAATACTCCGGAAAGAGACTTTAATAAAGGGACACATACTGTAAAGTGTTAGCGTGTTTTTTTTTTTACAACAAATGCACAAATGGGCTGTTCTAATCACTCCTAGTAGTCCAAACAAACAAACAAACAAACAAACAGTGTCAGCCATCTATCGTTGTCTTCACTTTGAGACTAATAGACAGAGCAGAACTAAGACAGATGATAAGATAAGGTCTGTTTCAGATTCGGTAAAATAACCGTGGCTGTGGACAAAAGTAACAATATCACATTCTGTTGTGAGATGGAATAACAAATGACTTCATTAATACCTCACCACCACGTCCAGAACACTCAACGAGTAACTGCAAAAGTTCACTCAGCATAACTTCTCCAACGATGTAACGAAACGCCGCGTTCAGGCTGGTCTGGAGTCAGGAGGTGAAACCCTCCTTTTGTGTTTTTTCACAGTTTGGGATTAATTTGGGATTAACCGCAGATCAAATGAAACAGCACTCAGTGGTTACATAATTGTGGATAACAGCAGGCAAGAAGTGGAGGTGATGAGATTCAGTGTGTGTGTGTGTGTGTGTGTGTACATCACCTATGCCTGTAAGTGGGGGCTGGCCAGTCTTTAAAGCCATCACAGGCGCTGCTTTTGCTCCGATCGCTGTCATTGGAGGTGTGTCAATCTTAGTCTGCAGAGGAACAAAAAGACATTTAGCTGCTATTTACAGCAAATCTGTTGGATCCGGAAAAATTCTGGGAAGAAATGTGTGTTATGTAATCAAAATGCAGGGGGTGTGGGGACACAGAAACCCGAACAGCGTGGGATTCGTCTGTTCCTGAAGGACAAATGAAGACAACACAGAATCAGACAGAAATAATGCTCAGATTAGGGATTGAGAGACAAAAAAATAAAAAAACACTCGTGGAGTTGTGAGTTTAGGAGGATGTTAAAGAAGATGAGCTAAAAGTTAAAAAGAGACTTAAAGGTATTCTGAAATTCACACAATGACCAATTTATATAATATTTATATAATAGCACAATCAGATGATAGTTTTTCTTCTGTTTTGATGGTTTTAAACAATCAGAAAAGAATAAAAATATACTAAAGAAATGTTTTGGCGTAACTCTTACTAAGGAGGCTACTGAGGCTGCTAAAGTAGATTAGAATTAAATAAAGGACAAAACCAAACATCAAAAACACTTCACTCCTCCTCCTCAGTGTCTGCAGCTGACTACCACCCTGGCTTTGTTTTTACTTCATCTATCGCGTGTGAACTACGACGCTTTTCTGGATCAGTCCAACATTTAATTTATAACAATTTTCCAGATTTTCTTGTAGGTAGATTGGAAGCAGCCAACAGAAGCTGAGCGCTGAGGAAAGTAAAAACTGATGGAGCAGCACCTTTCAGATGAAACAGAGTCCGGGTGATTCTAATGAAAATGTAGTTAATCAAGTGGAATAAACTAATTTAAGCCAAATAAAATCAAATGGTGCTTTAATTTGGAGATTTCCTCCCAAACAAACACATTTAAATCATGACTTTAAGGATGACGCTGATGCCAGTTTCATACCTCACTACACATACATGAGTGCAGTTTGTAGGCCACATAATAAATACATATGGTACAAACTGAATGTGATCAAATATTTGATTGAAATAAGTTTTTTACCTGCTAAAGTTTACCTGACCCATTAGATAGAATGATGAGGTCTTCTTCTGAAATTCCATAACCTACAGCAACACTGGCTGAAAATATAAGCTTTAATATAGTTCCAGATAATTTACTATTACATTTGAATTATGATGACTGAAAATTATTATAATATAATGTAGGTACATTTCAAAATATGTTTTAATAAGTTACAAAACAGGGCTGCACAGTGGAGCAGTGGTTACCACGGTTGCCTTGCAGCAAGAAGGTCCTGGGTTAGGAGCTTGGGGTCTCTCTGCATGCTTGCATGTTCTCCCTGTGCACGTGTGGGTTCTCCGCGGGTACTCCGGCTTCCTCCCATAGTCCAAAAACATATCATGTTGATTGCTCTCTCCAAATTATCCTTAGGTGTGTGTGTGTGTGTGTGTGTGTGCTTGGTTGTTCGTCCTGTGTGTCTTTGTGTTGCCCTGCGATTGCCTGGCATCCTGTCCAGGGTGTTAACCTGACAGCAGTCGGATCTCTATGTGTGTTCCCGCCTCGTGTCAAGTCTACACATTTGGGATTCTCCTGAATTTGGAAAACTCCAAATCTCACAAGAATTCCTCTTGCAGCGCGAGGTTACCAGGGTGTACCCCACCTGTTTGTCCAGAGACTGCTTGAGATAAGCACCAGCCCCCCCCCCCCCCCCCCCCCCCAAACCCTGCATGTACAAGCGGATTAAAAAAAATAGATGAATGGATGAAGTTATGAAACAATGATTTAGATCTCAAAACTGAATTTGGCCTGTTTGTTTAATAATAACACAAAGTTGGACTAATAATTTCTATTTTCATTTTCATTTTTTCTGTTTTTGAATTGTTTCCAAGTAAAAAAAAAAACACAATCATTTACAGCGTTTTGTAATTTAAAGCCACAAGTTAAATAATTTACAGGATTAACAGTGGATTACTGATAATCATACGCACATCTACTTGCATTGAGAGTTTATGATTTCCCACCAGATTTTCATTTTGAATCCGGCCGTTTGAATTATTTGACCGTTCTGCTCCTGCTGCAACAATGCAGCGTTCTGAAAATCCCAACTAGCCTTCAGTGGGAAAAGAGAATCCAGAATAAACCGACATGTGGGTTTGGAGCACATTCATTTGCATATTTAGGAATTTCAAAAGTTGTGTTAAGCGTGATCATCGCAGCTGCAGCTACTAATAGATTCAAATGGATTTATGGAATAAACACAGGAATGGGTTTTTGCAGGGAGAATTCTTGAATGCCAAGCCGGCAGTGAATCAGCTGCACTGAGTTATCCGCTGCCTCGGTGTCAATCACAGTGTTAGATAAGGCCTGCCAACAGAGGCACATCACAATTTCAATAAACTACCAGAAATGTGGCGGCGGCGGCGAGGGTGTCTTATCGCGCGGAGCGTGTAGGGAGTCGGTGGAATGGAGGAACACGAGGGCTGAGAATAAAAACAGGCAGAAAATTAGGTTTGAGAGACTACGGCTGAAGAGTTTATTACACGAAGGCGACAAAATATTAACACAATTTTGTTTTGATCATAAAAACTAGTTTTGTGTCCTTAGGAAACAGAGATATAAACTTGTGAATTTAAGGAAAACTTTTTTCAAGACAAAAAGTAAGAAAAGAGAGGAAAAGGCAGAAATATGTGTCCTTTAGTTCAGTGGTACTCCTTCCTGGTCTTGGAGAGCCGGTATCCAGCATGTTTTAGGTTTAACTCTGCTTCAACACACCCGATTTCAGTCAGCAGGTGATTAACAAGCTTCTGAAGAGCCTGAGGAGCTGCTGCACAGGTGACTAAACCTCTGAATTAGGCATGTAGGAGTAGAGAAATACGAAAACGTGCTGGATACCGGCTCTCCAGGACCAGGAGGTAGTACCGCTACTTTTCAGTGGTTCCCAAACATTTCAGCTTCAGGCCCATTCGAGACATGTGACCTCTGTTGTCTCTGGTACAAACATGCTAAAAAAGCTAAATAATCCAGGGCATTAAGAAAAAATACTTAAAGGGACTTTACGGAGTTTTGAATTTTTATGCTCGTGATTGCCCCCTCAGGCCAAAAGCGTAACGGCAGCTTCAATAGGAGGCTCGTGCACGAGGCGCGCATGCTGTACGTGCACACTCCTTAACAAAAATAACAGCTGAGACAGTCCCTTGTGTGTGTGTGTGCGGCCCGGAGAACAGAGGACAGGAGAATGTGCAGCTAATTAATTAAATAATTTGGCTCTGTAGCTTTCTCTTCAGCACAGCCGACAAAGGTTTAAGATGGGTCAGTCCTCCTGCATGCTCAGATCATTCCCTTCCCTTGCTTGAAAAATTGTTCCAAAATGAAAGTTGAACCCACATCTTTTTTTTATCTGTGAATTCAATGCCTTTCGGCGAGTCTCAAATAAAAATTTGGGCATCTTACTGTAAAAAAATATACCATTAATGTAAAAAAGAAACTCTAAATCAACTATGTTCACATCCAGAATCGAACGTGGGTCTTCTGCACGATAGCCCGAAGTCTTACTAGGCGAGCTAAACCACCAGTGATGTCTTCTGTATTTGTAACATTTATGTCCTTGATGACAGCTGAAACAACGTTCAAAGAACGGTTCGGAGGGCGATGCCTGAGCGTGAACGCGCATGAAGCAGCCTGCTCGACCCGAGCAGCTCTCTTTTTCTGAGTTTTTACAGAAAAACAGGCAATCACAGTAAAAATGCCAGGGCTCATTCTACAGGACCAGGGCATTGCAGGAGAATGTCTGAAGAAGACATTTATTATTTCTATACATGTTTTGGCTGTCAAACTTCCATAATGCCCCTTTAATGTTGAGTGTTTATATAAATTATACTAGACAATCGTCATCTCAAGACCCCGGTGTAGTTTTTGGTGACCCAGTGAGGTCCCGACCGTGCGCTGCGTTTTAGTTCCTTATATATTTCTCTCACTCTTTTTTTGCTGTTTCTCTCCAAATGTTTGGTTTGTCTTAACTCACCATAGGGGAAGGCGTAGCTCCTGCTGGACCAGCCTGCCTGATCTGGCCCATGGGCCCACCTGCTGGTCCCATCTGACCCAGTTTGGCCTGGACCTGCCCCATGCCCTGTCCTTGGTTTGGAGCCTGCTGCTGGAGGCCGATGGCCGCCGTGGTACCAGGCTGGCCTGGTCTGGCTGCTGAAGTCTGAGCTTGCTGTTGAAGCGGGGTCCTCTGTCCTAAAGCTCCATCTGTCTGGGAACCTGGACCGCCCTGTCGCCCTGACCCTGTGGGCCCGATGGCGGAGCCCTGAACGCGGCCAGAGCCACTGCCAGACCTGGAAGAGCCTGGATGAAAGTGAGTACATTAAAAAAAACACACTAATATCAAAAACTAAACACTTAATCCAACTTTCATCAGAACACAACTACAATTAGCGGACAGGAGCAGCTCAGTGTTCATATCACTGCTATTCCTGTTTTTATTGCGCTGTACAGCCGACGCAGGAGAGAGACAATAACAAGCAACAAATGTGAGCAAAGATCGAACAGGCGATTTAATTACAACTCTGCTAAGAACACGTCCACAGTCCTGCCTTCAGGGAACACGCCTCCTTTAAAAGTTACACTTGGTATTGTTAATTAAAAATTGTTGATCCCTGAGGGGATTGTTGACGGTAACAGAGCATCCAAATGAACCTCAGTGAGGCTGTGAAATATTGCTACATCAGGCTGTCATGAAAAATGAGCGATTACCAGTGTGGGTGCTAGGTTAAGAAGAGTATGCATGTAGGACTTAAATACAAAAACAACACATTTTATATATTTATTGGTTGGTGTGTATTTGCCACATTTTCTCTAAGTGAGTCTGCAGCAGTTATTTTTAACTCCTCTGCTCGCTGTGCTTGTGCAGAAGAAAAGAAGCTGAAGTAAAAAACAGGTTAGTCCTCGAGCCTCCTGCTACCCCAGAGCTCTCAGCCTCGGGGAAATGCTAAAACAACATTTATTTTTTCTCATGAATTACAGGAAAATATAGAAATGATTCAGGATAAAATTCCCATTAGCTTTTCAGATGTGTTTGCAACACATTTTTCGTTTAATAACTGATCTCAATTTTCCATGAAGTAAAATGATGTTTTCTTGAAGTTAAACACCATTAAATTACATCTCTGCATCAACCCATCCCTGTGGGGAGCGGCGGCTGCAGCAGTGGCTGTGCTCAGGAACTATTTGGTAGGTTAATGGTATGGCAGAGGACGTTTCTGAATTTCAGGAAATAACCGCCCTCTCCACGTTTTGAAAAAATGCGCACGAGAGAGAACGCCCAGTTATCCTCGGGCATGCTCTGCTGGCCTTGCAGCTCTTCATCTAGCCGTAATCTGGAATGAATTCAAATAGCATAACGAACTTTAGTTTACCTGTCGAGCAGAAAACCAGCGGCGACAGAGGCGTCTGTGTGGAGCCCAACCTTCGCTTTCAGCGCACGCCATCATTGAAAAGTGTCTCCTAAGAATACTCTGGTCTTATTTCTCACTTCGGAGGCCTTTCTCTTCTTATCATAGACTTCGAAGACGCTTTTTATCTTGCGACTCTCGGCCATTTTTCCAAAATAACCCAGTGAGAACGGCTAAGGCGGAATAAAGGCGTATCGCTCTAGACATTAATAGAATGCGCATGTGCAGGAAGTGAAGTCAACGGCCTTGCATGGAAGCTTCACCAGAATGATTGACAGTTTGGCGGACGAATGGTTCAGATGATCCACCCGTAAGAAAAAGATCCTCCTCCACACCTCTAACCCCCCAATCCAACCCCTTAAAGCTGAGTGTCAAGCAGGGAGGCACTGGGTCCCACTTGTAAAGTCTTTGGTATGACCCAGCTGGACTGGAACCCTGATCTCCCAGACCCAGGGTGGACACACACCACTCGGCCACTGAGAAGTAAGGGAGGTTGCGCTGTTTTACTTTTACTACAATATTTACTGTACCCTTCATCATTGAACTATTGGCATTGTAAGATGTAAATTGTAAACATTATGAAAACAGACAAATTGACATGTACTGTATAGTCAGTCATCTATTAAGCTGTTCTGTATTTACCTGGTGGTTGGCTCTGCGTGTCTACTGGGCCCTGGGACTTGCTGTGTGAAGACCTGTGCGGATCTCCCTGCCTGGATGATCTTTGGCCATGATGGTGCCCCGAAGGATCTCTCGAATAGTCTGACGAGTGATACCCTCCGGACCGTGAATCACCACGTCTTCCTGTCGATGAAGACCGTCCAGAGGAGTCATGGCGCATAGTCGGGTCCTTGAGGTGCGCTTTAGAGGACCTAGAGGACCTCGGCTCGTCAGAGTGACGTGACGAGGATGAGTGACGGCTAGAACTGCCATGGTGCCTGTGGTCACGGGATGACGAATGCCGCCCTCCATGACTGTAATCATCCTGCGGCCACAGGTCTTCCTCAGGAGGCTCATCATAATCATGGTAGGTGTGTTTGACACCATGTCGACTCCTTCCAGTTGAGTGGCTGCTGCCGTAGTGTCGAGAACTGGAGCGTGGTTTCTCAAACCAATCAGTTTCTTCCTGGCCCAAGTGGTAGGCTTTGGAAACCGAGAGCAGATCACAGTCAATCTCCATGTCGCTTGGAGACAGCGGCATGCAGGCTGAAAAAAGGAAGAGGACAGAAGGAAGAACAACCGCATGCAAAATAAAAAAGAAGGTAGGGGAAGACAGAAAGAAAGGCAAAAAGTAAAGTTTTACATACATGCACTGATTCCTTCACACATTGACATCAGACAATACAAGACAAGATAAACAAGATAAACAGGACAATATAAAACTGCAAAACCGCCTGTTTCAGCAGCTGCTTTGTAAAATGTAAGGCCGATTAATTCATTTCCTTGCCAAACCATTTGGAACTTGTACAAAGGGATGGGTACCTTTGACATTTGAATCGATCCGGTACTAATTCCCGGTACCTACGAATCGATACCGGTACTTAACGGTACCAATTTTCGATACTTTTGAGTGTTTAATATATTTTTAATTCTCTTTTATAATTAAATATATATTTTTCTTAATATATAACCATATTGGATAAATATCACGATAAATAACATACAACTGTTTGTATTTTAACATCGTCCTTGTAGTTTTATAAGCTGATAATTAAACTGAAGCAAACATCTTTACTGTGAACTAAATTTACTGTGTATCTTCATTCCTTTTACCGTCCTTTTTCAATTGATTTTTCCTACTGGGAAGTTAGAATTTCCGAGGAGAAAGCGAACGCACCATTAGATGATAATGGTGGCATAGGAAGCTAACATATCAAGCTAACGTTATCTTAAACAGTTTATTTAACTGCTGGAGCAGATTTAAACGATGATGCCTCACACTTAAATCATTGTCACTGGTTTCATCTTCACCCAATCACCCGTCGCATTTAGTAAAGTGAAGCCAAACTTAGTCGGAATTTCTGAGTTCCGAGGAGAAAGCGAACGCACCATTAGTGAAACGGAAGCTAACAAATCAAGCTAACATTGTTCTGTTTACAACTCGCTCGCAGCGACTGATGACATAACGCTCTTGCGCATGCGCAGCTGTCTAGGCAAGTTGTGAAGGACGGGTACCGAAACGAGGCACCGTTTCAAATGAAGTGAATCGGTGCTCGGTCGGTACTGTGGAATTCGGTTGGTACCTTAAAAAGTACCGAATTCGGTACCCATCCCTACTTGTACATTATTTTTAAATTCAACAAAAATAAACTGATTGCTGCTGTTAAGGGAACAATTACGCTCTACATTGAAAAAATAGTTTCAGGGCTGTTTTGCAGTTTTGACAAAATTCATACATCACATGAACAAAGTGCTAAAAGCATAATTAAAGATAGAACCATTTTCTGTCGTGCAAAGACCTCTCGAGTGAGTTGGAGCGTTGTGTAGACAACGACGACCACGCCGGAGAACCATGCGAGTATTGAACAAACAGACGAGTGGACGGACAGGCGGAAGGACGAACAGGCAGGCAGACAGACAGACAGCAGTCCACTGATAACAGAGCTCTGAGTGACTCTCAGGAAGAAGAAAACACTGACATGCAAGTGCTATCTCTGTCTCTCCTTTGCTTCGTTTGCTAAGTCTAGCTTCTGGGTGGGTGGGGGATGTTCAGATAAACGGTGGGAGCAGTAGTAGGTAGTGAGACTGTGTGGGAAAGAAGCTTCCCACAATTACCTTCACTGTCTGACACAGCACAGTGATAATCGTCTATAATGTAAGTATCGTCCGATTTGTAGACGTGTGTCCGTGGAAGGTCCCTTATGTGGTCTTGAACATCTGGCAGCGAGTGACTGGAACCATAATTGCCATAACAGTAATGATATCTATTGCTGTGGCTGTCATATGGGTCAGGACCTAAGCTTGAAGATCGCCCTGAACCCATGAACCTTCTTAAGGGGCTGAGTGGACTCTCCTCCTCAGAGTACTGCCTGGTTGGGTGACGTCCTCTGTAGCCAGATCTGTAGGATCGATCGTCTCTCTCGTAGGATCGGCTTCGGTACCCATGGTAATCCCTGGCTGAGATCTTGTCCATTCCATAGCCAGTGGAACGAGAGCGACCAGTAGAGGTATAGTAAATTCGATCGTCCTCATCCACCATCATACCATAGTATCGACCACTATGACTGGTGCCACTGCTGCCCTCATACGTGTTCCTCTTAAAGCCGTAATCCTCGATCAGCTGGCGCCCGCGAATGTGGGAGGAGGGGTAAGCCTCACCTGTTGCCGAGGAATAGGAGGCCAGATCTGCCTCCACATCTCGAGCCTCCTCAATAGGGGAAAACTTTGAGATTTTCTGCTCCATACTCCCCAGTTTCCTGTGCTTGCTGCGCTTGGATGACATGACAGCTGGAGCCAGAAGGCTTCTGGTGGATGACAAAGGTTTCTGTACTCCAGAGCGGAGGCTGCCATGTTTGTAGTCAAAGTCATAGTAATAGGGGGATCCCCCACCCATGCTAGCGCTCACGCTGCTGCTGCTGCCCCCTAGAGGTCCGTGCCTGTAGCTGCTCTTACCCCTGCCATGATGGTCGTACAGCTCATCCTGCATCGCTGCTTCCTCCTCAGGTGCCCTGCCGTAAGGGGAGCTGCCAGTTCCCCCACGCGCCGTGCTGCCAGTTGTGCTGCCATGGCCATGGATGTCGCCTGGGTAACGTCCACTGCTGCCATGATGCATCATGTCTCCTGTTGTTGTGCCCAGCCCATCCTTTGCCGTCAGCTCGCTTACGTCATCAATCATCATGTAGTTCCTTGGAATGTTTTGCTCTAAGCCAGGAGCCCCATACATCCCATCTGCCGTGCTGTAGGTAGAAGGACTGTCTACAGGGTGCCCATAGGCATTGGAAACTGTAGAAGTGTACTGTCCATAAGAGCTGGCTGTTGTGGTGGTGTAGCCATATGTATTAGCAGTAGTTGTGGTATACAGACCATATGAAGTAGCTGTGGTTGAGGTATATGGACCATATGTGCTAGGTGGCAATGTAGAGTAACCACCATAGCTGCTAGACACAGGTGCAGACCCATAAGGCCCATAGGTGCTTGCCATTGTTGTTGTTCCTGTGTATTGACCATAGGATGGTGCTCCACTGGAAAAAGTAGCATCTTGAGCTGTGGTGGTGACCACAACCGTGGGGTTGCTGATTATCTCGTAGTTAGTTGGCATCTTATGCTCAAGTTCAGCTAGCGAAGTCTGCCTGGGTCTTCCTGAATGAACTGTCAGGATATCAGCTTGGGGCTGCCCAGGGTATGGGGCTGTCTGGCTGGGGTAGGGGGACACAGCACTGGGATAGGGTGAGCTGTGGGTGGGGTAAGGGGGCTGACCAGGTGGAGCAGGCCCAAACCCTGCAGGTCCTGGAAGAGGCTGAGGCTGAGGTGCAGTTGGTAACCCCGAATCTGTCTGGGGGTATGGGGGCTGAGTTTGGGGATAGGTGTGGGAAGGATAAGATGTTTGAGGTTGATAGGAAGGTCCAGGAGGAGGGGCGTGGCTCTGAATGGGTATGGGTTGTGGCAGTGCCTGTGACTGTGACACTGTCGGGTAAGGAGGCTGGTTGAATGTTGATGACTGGTATGGCACACTTGACTGCTGAGATGGTGCTGCTGGTTGACTCTGGGGATACTGACAAGACAGGAAGGATGAGGTTGGTGGGTACTGGGCAGCTGTATTGAGGTCACTGGCAAACTGGCTAAGTGGGGCAGTGCTTGGTCTCGTTGTTAGGAGCCCATTGGTCTCATGTGATGCAGCTGCAGCTGCTAAACGCAAGTTATTCAACTCACTATCAGACATATAGTCCCTGGTGTCCCCCATGCATCTCAAATAGGCAATGTCCCTTCTTTCTCTTTCTTTCACCAGAGTCTCTTTCCTCTGGTGGATTCCCAGTTCTAGATATCTCAGCTTAGCATCAATTTCTTTCTCTTCCTCCTCCAGTTCAGCCTGCTGCTTTCTCAGCTTGGTTGACTCTTGCTCCACGGCCTTCAGCTCGTGAGTGAGATCTTTGAGGAGGCTGGCTTTGGCGGCCAGACCGGACCTTGAGCTAGGCTTGAGGCTGGGCATGGAGGGCAGGTAGAGCTGTTGCTGGATCGGTGTCATCATGGTTAGGTGAGCTGATGTAGCTGTCTCTTCTGGAGGAGGGCTGGGCAGGGTTCGCTTGACTTTGCGAAGCAAAGAGCTTTGCTGTAAGGCTGCCAGCTGGAGAGAAAGAAAGGAAGGGAATAGAAAGGGATGGAAGAGTGGGAAAATATGGAGAGGGGAAAAAGGAAGGGGAGCATTTGGGGAGCAAAAACAAGAATGGGGCAAGGAGTGGTTAAGGGGTGGAGGGCGAGGAGTCGTTTATGGGTTTTAACAGTTCGAAAGTTAAGTAGGAAACAGATGAGAGATGGAAAATGGTAACGGACATGTTGGTTAATAGATTTATCAAATCAAAGTTAGAAAGTTTTATGGATAGTGACAAGATACAAAAATGAACAAGGAAGCAAACCAGACAAAACAGCAAGTAATAAACAAAAACAACATGATGATATTGGTGAAGGAAACCAGTGAGGAAACAGAAAATAAACGTTCACCATGAAGTGAAACAAGATGTTTGTTTTAGGAGGGTTGGACCATGAACAAGGGAAGTACAGGGACATTAGGTGATAGAAATAAGGAGCAAAGATTTGAAGAGAGCAAGAACTCAAAAAGATAAAAGGTCAAGAAATGTAAATAAAAGGGAAGGACGAAACAGGGGACATACAAGGAAGACAAAAGAGACACGTATAGACAAACACACAAAGACAACAGGAAACAAGATTGAAGTTTAAGTTAGAAGATGCAACAACGCACAAGAATTAGTGATTATTGTGATTCAGCATTGTGTAAATGTTTCATCGGTAACACTTTAGTTTAGGGAACAAAAATTAACCATTAATTTGCTGCTAATTAGTATGCATATTAGTGGACTACTTAGTCTGAAATAGTCATTATTAAGCACTTATTAACAGCTTATTACTAATGCCGTCATTCTAACATTAACCGGCCATAAATTAGGAGTTTTATCATAATAAGCCATTCATAATAGTTTGTTAACTGAAAGTAAATGGTTGGTCGCTGATTAAGGCACGTAGCTCAAATCAATATGTGGCTTTTAAAGAAGTAATTCGAGGGGAACATATTCTTGCCTTAAGTAGTTAATTAATACAGATCTACTAGTAATTAGGTATGAACAAAATCTGGCTTTAGAATGGGGAACATATTATTGCTCACAAGTGGTTAATTGATTGTGGCTCTATTAACATGTGGAATTTGGTGTTTATATACATAATACCACAACATCATATTTTTGGTTATTAATGCAGAATAATTATTCTCCTTGAATTACTTCGGCAACACTTTACAATAAGGGTCCCTTTATTAACGTTACTTAGTGCATTATAAAGCATTAATGAACAAAGAATCCCTTTATTAACGTTCCCGACATTGTTAACTATTAAGTGTCATTAAGGTTAGGAGAAAGGGCCAGGGGTGTCTACTTAGTAACTTAATATTAACAAGCAGTTGTTAATACTTAAATATTTTATTAATGCTTAATAATGCACTAAGTAACGTTAGTAAAGAGCGTTAAGTGTAACCAACACTTTGTATACAATACGCTACAAATTTACTCAGAAAGCTGCTGAAGCCTTCAAAAGGAGTTCAACACGTATCTTTAACAGATGAGTCAGCACTTTCTGCAGTCAGTGTTTTGAAAGCAAAAGTTATTTTTAGTTTAAGTATTTATTTATTTTTGGCCAGAATCTTATTATCTTTGAGAGAATTAAAGCCAAATTCATTTTCTGGTTTATTATTCACAAAACCATAAATATACACTGTAAAAATAAACGTAAGCCTGTTGAGTTTATGAAATAAATCTATAAATGCATTTATTAAACATTTATAAATTTCTTATGTTGTCATGGTGTTTTTGCTCTTTTTTATGATTTTTTTAAACCAGAAAGTTCCAAATGAGACGTATTCTTTCATAATAAAATCCTGGCGGCTTGAGCTGGTGGAGTGGTCCTGCTGATTGTTACTGATTAATATTGGAAAACTTCAAAATTAAGTTATTTTAATAGCGTTGACCTACTTAATCATTACTCTATACACCCGTTCAACACTCGAAACTATTTTTCATTAGATAAATATTTACTTTGAGTTCATTTTGGACAAGGGGAAAAATTATTTTATTAAACTGGAAAGTGGATTCTGCTTTGGATGTTCAAATGGCAGCCATTTTGTGTGTATTAGTCTCTTGATATGAATGCAACTTTGTCTCAATTTGATCGATATGGCAAAATAGAATATTAAAAATACGTTAGCAATATTAAATGTTCATCATGACATCCAAGTCAAACAATTAGGGGGTTTAAAATTGTTCTAATTTGAAGTAAAAAGCTGTCCATTCAGTTAAATGGACATCAGTCAGTTTATTTGTCTGTGCCAAATTTTTAAATACTAAAAAGAAAATATAATGAATCAGCAATTTAAATATCTAATTATATCAAATGTTTGATGTCTATTCTAAAAAAACTAAACATTTCATTGTACTCAGTAAAGCGTTATAGATGTTATTATTTGAATAGACTTGTGCTTTATAACATTCTCTGCATCTTTAAAGCTTAAGTTTTACTATTTTTATGGGCTTTTTTGAATTTTTATTGATTTTTGATATATTGCCTCTTCCGATATGTGCAGGGTCTGCCCCTCATAAAAAAAGGAAACTGAAATAAACGTTGGTAACTAACATCACATAGCTCACATCATGCATACTTTTGTTTTAAACATTATTCATGCAAACAAATGACAATTTAAGTTAGGCCAGTTGTGCCAAACAAAAATGTCTCAAACACTTAAGTTAGGATCGGTCAGATTTTGACATTTTGAGTGAGACAATAAGATGCTGAATATAATATGTGCATGGTATGTAATATTTATTTCATTAAAGGAGCCCAAACCGATACAGATAATTTCTGATTTTACATTTCATTTCCAATATCAGCAAAAAAGTCACGGAAGACCGAGAAATCTGTCACTATGTTGTTTAAATTATCCTCCCACTCCATTCTAGTCCCGTCATTTTAGTAATTCTGAATGCACGTTTTTCCATGCCAGAATGGTTTCAGTAACATTACCTGGCTCTGCAGAGCTTGTTGTTGATACAGGGTCAGCCTGGCTTTGGTGTGTTCATCTGTGGTGGGGCTGAGCGATTTGGGATCCGACATGGACCTTTGGGCACTCTTGATGGGTCGGGGCATAGAGGGGTGCCGCTGTGGGGATTCAGCAGTATAGGACTTCTGCTGAGGTGTGACGTGGGCTTTGTTCAGTCTTTCACTTGACAGAGATGTCTCCAGCAGGCGGTGAGGGGACACTGGTGAGACAGGGGAATAGAGCACTTGTGGAGATTTCGGGGCAGTCTGCTGCTGCCGGATGATGCTGGAGATGGACTCGTTGTGGAGGTGGTTGTGAGGCTGGTAGTTAATGTCGAGTGGATCGGGGCGGCGGCGCTCAAATTTGGCTGCATTTGCGGTGACGTGCTGCTGCTGGCGCTGCTGGGCCAGAAGGTCTGCTGTACTAGATTGTTGTGTTCCTGTACTGCTAGAGGAGGAATATGGACTGACTGTTGTTGGTACGCTGAGCTGGGGGGCTACAACCCCCTGTGACTGCGCTTCTGGGTCAGTCTGGCATGCAAGAGATTGTCCCTTTTGCGTTCGCTCTGGCCCAGAAATGTAGTGCACAATCTCTACTTTGTTAGGGTCTGGCATTGTCACGTGGATCGCTGGGGAGACTCTGCCAAGGTGCTCTACCTCTGTCTGGCAAGAGACTTCTCTGATCGTCTGCACGGCGATGCTGGAGGAAACGATCTTGGATGTGTCAGCTTTGGTGTCTGTAGACGAGGTGGTCGTGGTGGCAGTGCTGCTGCCCGTTGCACTGGACTCAGAGTGCCGGGAGAAACGGGAACGTCTTCGACGAACCGGATGCTCAATCTTGTCTTCGTCATCATCGGTCTGGACGGAGCAGTCGACGCTGCGACCACGCCGTCTAGTGCGATGGCGCATCATATACCTGGTAATAGAAGTGAAACGTTAAACAACTAACATGTTTCTGTCCCTAGTTAGTGAGCCTATCAAAGCCAACTCTGCAGTTAACAATACCAGAATCAGCTGTATAGATTTATTATAGGTCTCACTCTTCCCACAAACATAAGTATATTGTTACCTCTCCTCCCCGTCTTCGTCATCAGTTTGCACACAACTATCCACGTTCCTACGGGAAGAACCGTAGAACGTAGCACCATCTCCATCCATAGTGTCTCTGCTCAGCCTGCTCATGGAGCTGTGCTTCCTCATTCCTGCCCTGGCCTCCGTTTGCTCGTCTTGGATTCTTAGACACATCTCCGAGGAAGAGTTAGGGAGAGAACGAGAGCCCAGCTGAGAGTCCACATACGGGTGCACAGGTTGTCCGCTCATGTCAAACTATTGGGAAAAGTGGAGGAGAACGGTAGGTGACCATCTATTTATCACGTGTTAGTGGTGGTCAGAGGGGCCGACGGCGCCAAAATGGCAGCCTCGCCTCTGTCAGACCTCCCCAGGGCGGCTGTGGCTACAAGTAGCTTACCATCACTAGCAGTGTGTGAATGTGAGAGTGTGTGAAAGCGTCTTTGGGTGTCTAGAAAAGCGCTATATAAGTTCAATGCATTATTATTATCTGTCTGTCTGTCTGTCTGTCTGTCTGTCTGTCTGTCTGTCTGTCTACTCAAGAATTCTCAAAAGTTAACAAAATCGAACCGGAGAATCCGAATTATACAACAAAATCTATCAAAGTCATGTCTGGCTCATTCCCAGACGATTAAAACTATACAATATAGAATAATTCAACATATTTAATAAACATATTGAAGTTATAATGAATCAAGATCGGAGTCCATCACCTGCATGCCCTGGGCTACAGCAGCTGCTTTCTGCCTCTTCTGCTCTTCCAGTTGCTGCTGGAGCTGCTTCTGTAAACACTGGATCTGGTCTAGCTGGGACTTCTGTTGGGCCAGCTGCTCTCGCTGAAGAACAAGTTGTTTTTCGCGTTCATGCTGCTGCTGCTGTAGCACCTAAAACACACACAAAGAGAATATATCAGAGGCATTTGAAGATCGACAACAAAAGAAGGAGAAAAGCGAGAAATGGTGAAACCATCAAACATATAATGAGAGAAATGGAGATGAGAACAGACAAAAAAACAAAATAAGGAACAAGGATTGATCGTATTAAAGGCTACAGTTGATGTTTTAAACAGCAAATGAAATATTTAGTGATCAAACATTGCAATTTCCTCTTGAGCTGATGGATTAGTTTCATAAATGATTTTAAGTTAGTCAGACTTGTATATTTAGTAAATGGAACTGAAGTGCAACTAAAATGAAAGGCAGCATGTACCGGTATTGTCTGTCACCAGTTCGGTAATGCTCATAAGAAAATATGTGATGCTTTTACTTTGCAGCCCAAATGACAGGTTGGTGCAAAAAAAGGTTTGAATCTGTGCGTCTGCTGTATGTAATGAGATGCAGATTAAGCATTTCTTATTCATTCTCATTAAAGAAAGCATCCAAACCTGTTTAACAGTGTTAACTTGGAACACTTTCAACTGCTTGCTCTATTCAAACAGAAAACAATGGTTGTGTCAGCTTTGAGTTCATTGTTAAACATCAGAGTTTAAAGGTGTGGTTCACTCATTCAATCAATACATATGCTGTGGTCTATAGTGTGTGTGTGTGTGTGTGTGTGGGGGGGGGGGGGGGGGGTAGGGGAGGGTGAAGGAGAAAGTAACCATAGACGGCAGGATTTAGAGTATTTTTTCCTGATATTGTACATCTTGCCTCCGATTGGCTAACAGCAATACTACTCTACCACTGACTCTACAACATTGATGTTTTACCTCCACAAATGGCACCAGTCTGAAGGAGTTCTGCCGTGTTGTGGAGTTGCTAATGCTAACAGTTAGCTTCTACTAATGGAGACGTTCTCTGCTGTTTCCTGAATGCTAAACCAACAGCCTTACCCGTTGAGTGTCGAGATGGGTGAGTCAATGGATGTTAGCTGACGAAGATCTGTCAGGCTTTTCAAATCCAAGAGTTTCACCGTCTATTTTCTACTAAAAGCGAATGCAGGAGATAGGTGTGGGAGACTATTTTCATGTTCAGCCTGCATGAAAAACTCAGTGACCGATTATAATCAGGAATAATAACTAAAAAGTAGATTTTCAGTGAATCACTCCTTTAACAAATTGTAAACTTTACACAACGTATCTGAACTCGATTACTTAATGTTTGTATCTAAATTTGATTTAGCGTCTGAAAATTAAATGCAACATGAACCAACTTTCCATGATTATTTTTCATCATGAATCTGATGAAAGAAAAAAAAAATCTAACATAAAACTACAGATAAAATCGTTACTGACACACAAAAACATGTAAAACACACACACACACACACACACACACACACACACACACACACACACACACACACACACACACACACACACACACACTACAGGCATATTAATACAAACGAACTGTACAAAAACACATAAAACACACACTTGCAAACATTCACACTTATATTTTGAAAACTCAGGGTTGATCAAAAACTTGACTAGAAGCTAACTGTCAGGCTTTATAATAATTTGTGTTATTTGAATTATAAAAATAAAAACAACCAAAAAAATACATCTTCATTCTAGCTCGTTTTTCTCCTTCTACCTGTTCCTTGATGCTCTGCAGCTCCTGTAACTCTCTCTGCACCAGGACCTGCTCCTTCTCCCTGTGCAGCTTCAGCTCAATTCTTTCACGCTCCAGCTCCTCTTGCAGACGGAGCTGCCGAAGTTTCTCTAATTCCACGCGCTCTCTCTCCATCTGCAGGAGCTGCTCTTGTTGTCGGTGGAGCCTTTCTGCCTCAGTTTCACCCTCTTTATGAATAGCGCCTGGTGGAGGAAACTGGGGAAGACCACCTGGAATGGGCACGCTACTAGATGGGACTGATGGGACTGCCACCGGCTGGACGTAGCCATGGGTTATTGCAGGGCCTGGGGGTGGGTAGGCATGAGCTGCAGGAGGAGCTTGTTGCTGTTGAACCGTTGCTACTTGTTTTTGCTGCTGTTGTTGACTGCTTAGGTGAGTCTGGGACAGGTTAATTGGCTGCTCCTGTGGTTCAGATGGCATAACAAGTGGTACTTGTATACAAGTGACCTCTGCTGATGTCACTGCTGCTTTGCCAAGATAAACGGGTTCATCCTGGGCTGTTGAGCTTGCAGTGGTCAAAGAAGTAGATGCCAGGGCCACAACTGGTGCTGATGTTAATGCAGCTGCAGTGACAGTGACAGTGGCTGAAGTTGTTTGAAGAAGCCCTGGTGCTGGGTAACGAACTGGAGCTTGTCCAACGATGGGCATTCTAGGACTAATTGGTAATCTGGTAAGACTGGAAAGGGGCACCGGTGTCATGTTGGGAAATGCATAAGGCCTGTAGACTCCTCGCAGTAGTGGTCGAAGTACAGAAGCAGGCTGTGTTGTAATAGGAAGTGTTGAAGCAATTGGAGTCTGAATGGTGGAGTAAATCATTCCATCTGAAGACCTGATGGCAGCAGGGTACATTGCTCTAAGACTTGCCTGTCTGGCATTGATCAGATTGGTTAATGCTTGATTTTGAGAGAGTGGTTTCCCATCTAGACCAAACATGATGTTTTGCCTCAAGCCAAGGCCTGCTGCGAGTCTGGAGGCACTTGGACCAGTACCTCTCCCCAAGCTGCCAAACTGCATCAAGTCTGGGTTGCTTCCATACCGATCCATAGAGTTGAGTGCTGCACACATTCGGCTGATCTCCCTTGCAGTTGTTGCGCTGTATTGAGCCAAGTTAGCTTCTTGGAAGCTAGCAATGTCGCGAGCAGAATAACCATAATCTGAGCTGATGTTCGACAAAGAATTATACCTCCTTATAGGTAGTGTTTGTGCTGAAATGTCTCCTCCATGTCTTAAATCCGTGTAGGAACCATACTGCATCCCAATATATCCTCCATAGCCCTGTTTCATAGCAGTTAAATCCATTGCAAGGTCACCTGAGGGTTGGAGGGGTGGTTCCATTTTAGAAATGTAGGACTGTAATCCGGCATCAGCAAGGTTTGTGTCAGACATTGAAGGCTGGAGCCTACCAGGGTAAGGTAAAGTGTAGGCCTTACGTGCATCCATCGGATATTCATGGTACCTTCCTAGTTGTCTTTCTTGATCAGCCTCGTAGGTGATAGGTGGGGCAGATGGTGGCCTAATGCCCTCTTTCTCAGAACCACCAACACAAATTCCTCCAAATGGAAGTCTGTAAACAACGTCACAGCAAGCTGGCTGACTGTCAGGCTTAATTTGGCCTTCTGTCAGATCAACTGCATCTTGTCCTTCTTCCACTTTCACCAGTTGAGTCACAGCCCTGATTGGCTCTGGCCCCCCATCCATTTGCACTACCATACTATGTGGCGGTTTAGCTCCAGGCATCAAACCAGGAGGACTCGGCCTTCCTTTCAGTTCCATGGGACTTGAGCCATACAATTCAGGGTTAACAACAGGTGAAACAGCACTAACCACAACGGAGGCAGCGCTAGTTTGGCTGACGAGCAAGTTTTTTTTGGGAAAAGGTGAAACTGGGCCTGTGAGGTTGTACTTGGTCAAAACAGATGATTGTTGCTGCAGTTGATGATGCTGATGTAGCTGTTGTTCAAGTAGTTCTTGTTGTTTCTGCAGCTTCTCTTGTTGTTTTTGTAGCTCTCTCTGTTGAACACTGAGGTCTTCTAGTTTGGCATCAATTTTTGGTATCGATGGGTCAACTGGAGGAGAGACTGGCGCTTTATTAGGAGATAGACACACAGCAGAACCCATGCCCTGACCCAGATCTATTCTGCTTTGATAGAGGTCACCATAAAGTGTGGGCTGGCTTGGCTGCATCATAAACATAGAGGCTGCCACAGTGACACTCACAGTGGTTGGCGTTGTAGTCTCCTGGGTGTTTAAGTTCATAATCAATGGTTGGATGATTGTTGAGTGCCGGCTGCTCTCAATTCCACCATGGTATTTCCTGCTTTCTGTAGCTAAGGAGGTGAGATCCATTCCCTGGTCAGTCATAATGATAGGAGCTGGTTTGGTGGCTGTTCTGAGATCCACAACACTCCCACCCTGGATCATACATCCCTGTTCAACTCTTGAGGTGCCTGGCACAGTAGATATTCTGCAGAGAGAGATATTATCCATTGACACTGACCCTCTGCTGTATAGGCTTGCTGTTGTGACCATACTCGTCCCCACGTTTACTTTCTCTACTCTTTGTGATCGATAAAAGCCGCGTGTTGGAGACTGTTGGTAAGGTGGTGTGTCTGGTGGGCTGCCACACGGGGAGTAACTTTCGAAAGTCGACTGGCGACTAAATCGAGTTGGTGAGGACAAGGGAGAAGTAGCGGTGTTCACAGTCACTGGCCTACTTTGGCATGGAGGTGGGGAGTACGGAGCATCCTGGGAAGACTGTTGTCTATACAGCCTTGGGGAAACTGATCTATGCGACGTCTGGGTTGCTTGAGCCATCACAGGCGATGTAGGCCCAGAACCAGCTGACTCCATTCTCAATGCAGAATTGAAGGTTTGTGTAGAGAACTCTGCTGTGGCTCTTCTGGAAGGAGAGCGAGTGGGACTCTGTGGAGGTGGTGGTGACGGAGAAAGAGGAGGGCTTGTACTCCTGTAATATGTAGTATACTTAGGAGAGCGGGGCTCAATTACCCTGTCAGTGGAAGATGTTGAGCTGTCTCGCACATGGACACCCCTGGCATCCCCAACCCTTCTGGTGATCACTTCTCTTTGACTGTAAGCCTGGGTAATCTCAGCAATTTTGCTACATACACTCGAAACCGTTGCTGAGGATGTGGCAAAACTTCCCGTGTGTCTCCGTGCCGCATCCGACTGAGTAGACGTTGTTGTGTGGCTTGACCCTGTTTGGGAGAGAGTTACTGCTTCTCTGGCGTAAACTCCATAAGCTGCAATGGTGGTAGCAGCCACTGTTGGAGTTATTCCGTTTTTCCCCACTTGGCTTTTGATTCTATCTTTATGCCCATCTTTTGCAGAGAAGTGCTGGCTCACTCTCACATCTGGTATTCGACCCCCAGTCTCTGCAAAAGAAACAGGAGCTGAGATCTGTGTGGGGCTTGTCCCTGGAGTTAAGAGAGCGTTGCTTTGCTCCAGTAGCTTAGCAAAGGCCGAGCCTGCGTCTAAGAGCTGTTTGTCTGGATAAGAGCTCTCAATTTCAATCTCTACTTGTTCATCTGTATCCTGCTGCATTTTTGTGATGTTCTGAGATGTTTGTCGGATTTCCTCATAAATGTCATTTTCTGTCTCTGCTGCTTCATTGTCATATCCGGTTTGATCTTGGTCATAGTCATTCTCATCGTCGTAATTTTGACCATTGATGTCCTCCTCATAATACTGCCCATGCCATATATGCTGTTGTTGCTGCTGCAGTTTTTCTCGTTTCTGAAGCATCTCAGCCTTCTTCATCATCTCCTCATAAACTTCTTCAGCACTTTTCAGAGGTTTGGAGGTCAATGAGGGTGCAGTAGCTGTTGTTATAGACGAGGACTTCTCAATCGGTGAGTACAAGGACATAAAAGTGGGTAGGTTGTACTCGCTGCCTGACTTATAGATTTTAGACTCGTATCCCTCCGCCTCAGAATCCAGGCTTTGAGGGGAATATTCAGAAGCAGAAGAGCGATGAAGTTCTTCCATTTCTGCTGCTTGTCTTAGCTCTTCTGTAGGGGAAGCGTCTTCGATTGGTGAGAGATTGCTAGGCGGTGTTTTGGATCTCTCTCTACGCCTCTGTGCCCTCAGCTCCTCTTTATCCCTTTTGGTCTTTCGTGCTGTGCTTCTAATCCTCTGCTGTTCTACTTCTCTCATCTTCTCCTGCTCTCTTAAAAGTTCTTCTTCCTCCCTTAGCTCATCCTCTTCTGAAGAGTCTTCAATGGTGGGAAGAAGAGGACCATGAGAGCGGTGCCGGGCCTTCCTCTGCTGTTTGGCCTCTTCAAGTCTTTGCCTCCTGCTCGGACTACTGTCGCTGTCTTCCTCCATTGATGAGATGGACGTGGGAGACTGTCCTGAGCCATATGATGATGAAGTTGGGGGAAGAGTTGAAGAATAATCTCGACCAGAGCGTTCTTCCGGAGATCCAGTCAGGCTCTCCATCTCTAGCTCCGGTTCCCTATCGAGGCTCAAATCGTTTTCATGGCCCAGCTCCATATCTCTGCTGTAGCTGTTAGTATTGTTCAGTTCAATGGTTTTGAAGCGCCTCAGCCCGCCTTGTGATGCCATCACATCTTCTTCACCCTCTTCCACCGACCCCTTATAAACATCAGTAGAGCTTTTGGTTTCCTCCTCGAAACTGCTCGAGTGGTGTTGAAGGCGTCTCTTTTCCTTCCCTGAGTCAGACAGGATGTGCTTGTGGTGGCTTTTCCTGGGTTTCTGGTAGCCGTAACCTTCATCTTCTTCATCTTCGTCTTCCTCCATTTCGTCCTCCTCCTCATTATCTTCATCTGCACTCATCTCCATTATCTGTCTCCTCATGAACTCCTCATCAGTCATCTCTGTGGGGTCCTCCTTTTCCTTCTTTTTCTTTTCCTTCTTCTCATCCTTCCCTTCTTTTCGTTTCCCCTCCCAGTCTCCGCCATCCTCCTCTTCCTCCAGAATGTCCTCTAACTCCTCGTCAGAGTCATACGCGTCGGGCGGGATTGAAAGTGAACGTGGGCGATGTTCTCTGTCCCTGTGCTTCCTTCCCCTCCTATCAGGCTTCTCTTCAGAGAGGCTCTTTTCCAGGAGTGGCCTCATGGAGCTCTCAAGTTTGGTGATTTCAGAGGGGCTTGGTGGGGAGCCCCGCCCGCTGATCCCTCTCTCACTCAGCTTCATCTCCTCCTCCTGGATGAGGCCCGTGATTTCACTGTGGGAGCTGGAGATCCCATCTGAGGAGTAGCCGGTGTCACTGAGGCTCTGGGGACTGCGGGACAGGTCGTGGGTGCTGTTGTTTTTTGTATCCTAAAAAGAAAAGAATTAAAAAGATGCATCATTGATGGAAAATTATTGAACATGATTGTTTGGTTTGCACTAGGGCAAAAATTTTTCATTATTGAAATTTCTGTCTCTTATTGGTATGATTTTCCCATGTCAATAAATTTGATAGTAAAAACATGAAAAGATGTGTAGGTTGGCTACGTTCATGTCCCTTTAAGAAGCGGTACCACATCCAGTCACGTAATTATGTGACTCAACATGATACGTGTGACAGCCCCATCTAGTGGACAACTTTAGTTTCTGCGCATGACTGTAGTTATCGTCCATTTATCGTTATCGAGGTGAAATCCTCAATATATCGTGATATTAATTTTAGGCCATATCGCCCAGCCCTAGCCCTGCACTTATCATTCCACCTACAACTAAAGCCTTATTGTAAATCTTAAATAAAAAAATTAGAAGTGTATTTCTCCCATTTTTTTTTTACTACAATTGCAGTAATACAGAAAAAAAAACAGAGACAATGTACAACTGCAGCCCTCATTTTACTTGAAACTCTCCTCCCAAAGCTGTTTTAATCCAAAACAAACAAACAAAAAACCCTAAAAATTCTGGGTTTAGAATTTTTAAAGTGAAGGTTGTAACAGCCCATGTCTGTCACCTTGTGCCTATTGGCTTTGGTTGAACTTGTTAAATTACTTATATGTGTGACATACAGTTTGGAGGTTATTGTCTTTATTTTTGTTGCTGATTTCTGTGACCTAAGAGAAAGGCAGCATCACGTTGAGTATTGTTTTATTGATCGTTTTGTCTGCCTGACTTCTATAAGAGGTGAGTTAGGAGACACGCCCCGCCCCCGAGAGTGGTACTCCCTCACCTGTCTGGAGGACGCTGGAAACAGGAGGAAGTGAGTTTTGATCGGACGCTGCCAAGCGGTGGTATGGACTAAGGATTATCGCACCAACGACTAGGGAGAGGCTATCTGACCTATGTGACTTATCTGATGTGCTGGAGGAGTAAGCTGGGAGCGTTTGTTCTGGTGAACCGCCGAAGCAGCGGCCTGTCGGGACCTCAGCGGTACCGTGAGTAAACAGCTGATCGACGCAGCGGTTGCTGCAGCTGCTGTATACTGAATCAGCGATAATCTTAGTTCTTTTTTTTTGCTGAGTATATTATGGACGCACATTTTTCTTTTCTTTTCTGAACTGAACTGAATTTATCTGAACTGAACTGAATTTATCTGAACGGAACTGAATTTATCTGAACGGGACTCTCTGACCTTTCCATTAATTATTATATATGTTGTTGCAAAAGATCTGATTTAATACACCCCCGTTTTTGCCTTTTGCTTATGTGATTATTTGGGTTTGTTTGTTTCAGTCCAGGTTAGGGTGATAAACACTTCAAATTGTTTACATCCTTTGTGTTGTGAAGTGAGTGTGAGTTACAAGGGAAAGTTGTTAATAATTGTATTTATTTCTTATATGTCAGGAGAGAGACCTGGCTGGCACCCCGATTAAATCCCTTAGTTACACCTGCTTCCGTCACAAGGTAAAACCATGAAAGTCCCATTAAACATAAAAAGCCTCAGAAGATTTTGTTTAAACCTTTTCAGACATAATCGGGGACATTTATGTAAATAAATGGCTTTAATGAGATTTTAATGACATTTGTGTTAATTCCAGTATTTCTGTAACATTACCACTGAAGTAATGAAGTGATATGTCATTTTATTTTAAACAAAGACTGACTGAAACATGGCTCTTTTCATCCATATGTAACATTTAAAAATCTATAAAAGTTGTCATAATGAAAATCACAAATTGGCAATGCGTCTACCTAAAAATATCACATTTCTACTGATCTGTCTAAAATGTTATTGCAGGTGTACGTCTAGGACAGGAATCAGATCAGCCTCCCAATGTAAGCTGGTATGTAGCATCAGAATGCACGGTTCTATCTCATGAGTTTTTGCAGTTCTTTGGGAAATATTCATGTTGCACACGTTGATATTGTCATGATAAAGTTGTTATGTCATTCATGTTCTGCTACAGTACCTCTATCAGGCACAACTGAGCTCCTGCAATCAGCAGATGTCCGTCGCCTGTGTCTGCCAGTGTTGAAGCTGCCTCAGTCCTCAGGAAAAGTGCCCAATTGTCTGTTTTCCTGACCAGTTTCCAGCCTTGGACCAAGTCTTCTTCCTCTGCTCTCACTGGACTTATTTTGCCTTTGTTTCTCCTCCATCCCATTCTCCTGACATTTCAATTGATTATATAACAATTTAAACTATTATAACTATTTAAACCTGCTTTCATGTTCCAGTGCTGTGGTACTCACTCCTGCTGGAGAGCCGGTATCCAGCATGTTTTCCTTGTTTCTCTTCTCCAACACACCTCATTCGGTGGTTGAATCACCCGTGCAGCAGCTCGTCAGGCTCTTCAGAAGCCTGTTAATCTCCTGCTGATTGAAATCAGGTGTGTTGAAGCAGAGTTCAAACTAAAACATGCAGCACACCGGCTCTCCAGGATCAGGAGTGAGTACTGTTCCAGTGTATTACCGGGTCCAGTTCCTGTACTAACCTTTACAGAACAATCTGGACAATATGGACCCAATACCACACCCAACATGGTGCAGTCAAGTTGAGGCTACCATTGTTGAGGAGAACAGTCATCTGCTCCCATAGCCACACACTTTTCTGCACGTTTACCTGCTCAGATGCAAGTCTCATCCATCTATGAACATCACCTATCACCATCTGAATGCTAAATAGGTGAGCTACGTATTTGTCGTTTACTCAAAGTAATATTCAGAGGGATGTAGCCGATTTGAAGCTGGTGCTTAAAGGGATACTATGCAACTTTTTCCTGTTTTAAAACTATTTTCTTGAGCCAGTATGTGCTAAAATGACCCTTTACAGAGTTAATGAAATGTCATTCAGACCCCACCACTCTCTGTGGCCACCATACTAGACTTGCAGCTTCAGAGTTGGTGGGCTGCTACCCGCTGCTGGAGGGAGCTGTGGAGTGGGGCTGACATGGTCTGCTTCCAGCACACTTCCTGCATGTTTTAGATCCTGAGCACATCTGATTTGTTTGATTTGGTTATGAATCTATCGTGCAGACACTAATGAAGGCTGAGGAGATACTTCAGCAGTTAGATTAAAGTGTTAAAAAAGACGAACACACAGCGAGTAGATACGTTTCGGACACTAGGGGGTGCTAAAATCAAGCAAAAGTACAGGCTAGCTTGTTTTGCAGACTGGCCATTGCAGCTTTAAATAAGGAGGTAATAATGCAAAATGCCAGTAAATGGATGGATGGATCAATGAGACAAAGCCAGTTAGGACAATGCTATTGCACTTTCATAATGATGAACTGTTTGAATTTAAACCCACAAGCATCACTTTTTTGCCTATAACTGAATGCTTTCAGTGCAGCTATAAATATTGAGGCATGGAAATTAAATTAACTGGTTCAAACATGTGTTCCTATGGCAACTGGGCCAGCCGTGGATGACGCTGGTTGGATAGATTTTCTAAATTACCCACTGCTGCTCAGTTTTGTTGGCCCTAAACACGAGGCTTGAACGTGACACAGTGTGAGACTGAGTCAGAGAATGAGGTGAAATGGTTCAGGTCCATCACCGGGGTTTGGAAAGTGGAAATTGGCTTAACTTTGCTGACGACACACTGTCCTGATAAAAATCTGTATAAATGTGAAGTATTACCACCTTAAAATAACCATACCATGTCCAATTTCAACCTGCTTAAATATATAAAGTTCCAAGTTCATGGGGTCACATGATGGGTTACACTAGATTTTCTAGGTTTTACTGTATTTTTCATAGACTCACATCATAGTGCCTGGACTTCTTAATTTCCTTGATGGGCGTAATCTGCTCTCCTTTAATCTGAGAAGGTTTGGTTTCTTTGGCAGTTTGGATCTCAGGCTCAGTCTTGGGCTTCTCCTCTGTCGGTTTTGGCTGCTTCTGGGTCTCAGCGGTTGGCGCTGTAGCTGGTGCTGTGGTCTTGGTGTCAGCTGATTGTTTGGCAGATGTGGGTGCGAATGGTCCACTAACACCAGCTTCCATCTGTGTTTTCTGAGTGTGGGGCTGGGCTGGTTTAGGCTCCTGCTGAGCGGTGGGGGTGGGCTTGTGAAGAGGACTTTGCTGGCTGGTTGGTGTCTGGTGACGGGGCGAGCCCATTGGTTGGTGCTTAGGGGACGGATGAGGTGCGGGAAGAGGAAGATCGTCGAGACCACCTCCGGACATCAGCCGCTGCGTCTGGCAGTTGAGACATAACCACTCTTTTTTCTAAAGTGGAGAAAGGAAAAAGGACCAATGCAAATATTATGACCAGATGACTTTCCCACAATTGATTCTAAAACATGTGGTTAATAAAACTGTGACTATACTACAATGAGAGAGAACTGAACTGGCATTTGAAATATTATTAAGCAAGTGTTCATAAAAACAGTAAAAATACAAACATAATACCCTAACTCTATCCACTACGCTCAGCATTAAGGGGCTCGATTGGGGGTTGAAACCACCAAATAGTTCCTGAGCACAGCCATGTCTGCAGCTCACCGCTCCCCCGGGGATGGGTCAAACACGGCGAGCAAATTTCACTAGTATGTGACGACTAATGTGACTTAGAGCTTTAAATCGTTCCAAGCTATAGTTTGATAATCAAACATTAGTGTATCAAGTTGGAGTGTTTTCATTGGTTATTAGCGAACCATTCAAAAGCCAGTTATAATCCAGTGCAAGGTTTTTACAAGGGTTTATTCCTAATTTGTTTCAAGAAATGAATTTCAACTGATGGCCGTTGTTATAAGCTAAGTTATATATGTTTTAATTGATCACAAAAGTTTTATCAGTAAAAATGGCCACTGTCTGTTTTTAACTGATGGCAAGAAGGTTCTTAAACTTCCATAGTCCAGATACTTACATGTTAGATTAACTGGAGAGTTTAAGTTGACCTTGGATGTGTGTGTGTGTGTGTGTGTGTGTGTGTGTGTGTGTGTGTGTGTGTGTGTGTGTTGTATTTTGCGTGTTGATGGACTGAACTTACACAGCACTTCACCCTATGACTGCTGGGATGGATGCCAGTACAGAGAATGAGAGGAAGGGTGAGTGAGTGAATTGCATCGAGATGAATTGTTTAGAGTGGGATGGACTAGAATTAATTGAATTGTGTGTAACAGCATTTATCTTGGTCCTGTTTATTATGTTGGTGTGTTGCTTTGATACAACATTTGTTGTGGTCCTAAATAAATAATCCTAATTGATTTTAACTGAATTAAACTGTGATTGACAGAATAACATTCTGAACATATCCTTAACATTATATATATTTACTACTATTGCGCGTGCACACACACACACACACACACACACACGGATGCACGCACGCACGCACACACACACACGCACGCACGCACGCACACACACACACACACACATAAAGTGCTCATTGTGGAAATCTCATTTCAGAAGCGAGCTGTCAGATCTGTAGCTGACTAAACCGAGCTGACACAAGTTTCAGAAAAGGCAAAGTCGCTCTGACAGCTACATCCCTTTTTCATCACATCAGCTCCATTCAAACAATTTCACACACAGCAAGACTAGCAGACAAAATCAGGGCCATCGTGCACATGCAGTGCACATCATTTAGGTTATTATTTATTAATTATATATTATATTTTATTATTATTATTATTATCAATAACAATAATAATAGTAAGTCTTAGGTTGTATGTGTATGTGTCAGCATGAGGGAGGGAGTGTGTGACTGTGTGTTATGGAAAAATTTATGTTTATTAATTCTTTTATTTTTATTTTTTTTACCGTGTCCTGTCTGGCTGTGAAGCAAGCAGAATTGATGTCTGAATGCTGGTAACAAGCCTTACAGATTTACTCTCAGGTGGAGCATCAAAGCATCTGCTTTAATGTCACGCCTGATACTTAAAACTTTATTGTTATTGTTGTTGAATGCATTGTAATTCCAACCAGACACGGAGACAGAGGTGAAAGAGAAAGGAAAAGAAAAGGTGGGGAGAGAGGAGGAGGAGGGGGGGGGGGTGTTCCACAAAAATAAACAATGAACAAGAGTCTGCTTCTAGACCTGCAGAAAAAGACAAAAAAAAAAAAAAGAGACACAACAACAATACAACAAGATCTAGCTATCACTGCGTCAACCTGACGAAGACAATATATAATCAACATTGCTTAACTGAAGAATCACGATAATAAATCACAGTGCATTAAGTGCCCACCATAGTCTTAAGACCTGTGTTGAACGTGCCCAAGCCCATACTTTTGAGAGCACCATGTGAGCCCCTGTGTGTGTACACGCACTTGCTTATGTAAGGTTTCTCTATAGGAGCGTCCAACAGAGAGTGTGAGGGACCACAGATCCGCCCCCCAAAGATGCGCAGGAGACGGGGGGAGCTCCAAGTCCCAGAGATCCAGGCGCTGCCCCAGAACACAGGAACCCCAAGGAGACTGCAACCAAGAAGGCCCCCCCCCCCCCCCCTCGAGAGGCACAGAGGATTACCCCGGGGGGCCACAACCAGCAGCCGGCAGAGTCCCGGGAGATATCAGCGGCAAGCCCTCAGGCCCGCCCGCAGCCTCCCATCCCCTAGCCGGCCCAGCCCGGGACCCAGCGACCCGGGACCCAGGGGCGACCACCCCCGCCGGGGACCCAGCAGAGCCCAGGGATCCAGACCCCACCAAGCAGCCACCGGGATCTATCAGGCAGATGCCAAAATCTTAAACCCCCAGACCCGGTTGCCACGAACACTCAGGCAGACCATGGCACAACCCCCCACACCAGGTGTGGCAGGGGGAGGGGGGGCAAAGATCTATATCGTCAAGAGAGGTTCCAGGAGAGGGGAGGAGTCAAAGGCCACACCTGTCAAAGGCCCCATGTTTATTAATTCTTGATCATGGACTCAACCAACTGGATGTAATGTGTACTGCTCTATGCCTGTCTGCATGCTCTCTCTCTCTCTCACACACACACACACACACACACACACACACACACACACACACACACACACACACACACACACACACACACACACACACACACACACACACACACACACACACACACACACACACACACACACACACACACACACACACACACACACACACACACACATTCTTGTGTTCATACACACACTGACTCCCTCTCTCACACAGTGTCCTCACTTCTCCTTTCTTATCTTCCTCTACAAATAAAGTCTGTGAACAGATGTTCGGGGCACTTGCCACAGTTATGACTGTTTGACTTGTCTGCTCATTGTCTCCTTCTCTCTTCACTATAAGTAATGTGTTATTGATAAACATATTGATAAAATCCAAGACACTGTGTCTGTGTATGACTGTATACGTCAGGTGGGGCCTTTGACTCCTCCCTTCTCCTGGGACTTCTTTTGATGCTATACATCTTCGCCAACCCTCCCCCTGCCACACCTTGGTCTGCCTGAGTGTTCGTGGCTCCCGGGCCAGGGGGTTTAAGATTTTGGCGTCTGCCTGATCAGTCCCGATGACTGCCTGGTGGGATCTGGGTCCCTGGACTCGGCTGGGTCCCCAGCGGGGGTGGTCGCCCCTGGGTCCCAGTTTGCTGGGTTCCGGGCTTGGCCGGCTGGGGTTAGGAGGCTGCGGGCGGGCCTGTTGGCTTGCCGCTGATATCTCCCGGGACTCGGCAGCTCCTGGATCTCTGGGACTTGGAGCTCCCTCCATCTCCTACACATCTTTGGGGGGCGGATCTGTGGCCCCTCACACTCATTTGGACGCTCCTATAGAGAAACCTTACATATACAAGCGTGTGTACACACACAGGTGCTCACATGGTGCTCTCATAAGCATGGACTTGGGCACGTTCAACACACGTCTTAAGGCTGTGGTTGGCACTTAAAGCACTGTGAATTATTATAGAATAGAATTGAATAGACTTTATTGTAATTGCTCATGGCAATTAAATTACAGATGGTCTGCCATCAACAGTGCACAAGACAATTGTAAGGTTATGAAGTTCATTATTTTCAGCTCCATACAGCTGCCCCTGTACACAGTTACACCCGTGTATGAAAACGCCAAGGTCGGGTGTTCCTCAGACTGTTTACATTCCAGGAGAAGAGTCCGAAGGAGAAGAAGAACGCTTTTACTTAATCAAAGTACTTAATTTGTGATTAAAGCTATTCGAAACAGATGTTGATCAACAATAATCAAGTGAATGATCTGTGAAATAAATATGTCATGATTTATGTTTAATGAAAACAGGACTATTGCACAGACAGACTGATCCTCATCTCCATAGAAACGCATGACACATTGCTCCAACCAATCAGAGCCTTCGGCTGCTGCAAGAGAATCTGGTGTTGACTTTAAGTGTCAAATCCACTTTACTAAAACTTATCAACAATTCAGAGATATAAAACAAGGCAACGCCATTTTAAGCTCAGTTCCATTTTGACTTCAGTTCTATTCACCGTCATCCCAAAGAGAAGCACAGACTAGCCAGATGTGTTTTCTTCTTTAAACTAAGAACTGTGAAGTTGGAGATTTTCGTCGTTTAACAACCAGATGACATCCTTTCAAAACAAGAGCACCTGTTGACGCTGCCGACTGGTACCGGGGTCGACCCTTCAGACGGGCTTTGACGTGCTGCGATCGCTGCTTCGACAGCTCCAGTACACATCCGAGGTTCTTGGACCTGGCATTTCCTGATCTACCTGGGAGGCCCCCCACTGGGTACGTACACGGCAAAATAGCGGCTCATGTCATCACTTTATAAGCCTCGTGATATCTAGTCATAACAAAGACGACCAGATTCAATGACGTCAGCCTAAGGAGTCTGAACCAACCACACACACACACACACACACACACACACACACACACACACACACACACACACACACACACACACACACACACACACCAACACAACATCCAAATCCATTTTCATCCATCACAGAGTTAGTCCTGGTAGATTGTTTAGAATTTATAATTAAGAAATTAAAGATTCTCAAACGATCCCATCTCTCTCTCTTTTCTTGTCTCAAAGTCAATGCAGAGTGTTTAATTAAACTCCCTGATGATAAAAAAAGCCTATTCTTCTGACTATAAAAAGTGATCTACTTACAGTGTATTAAAATACAACTCTAGATAGTTACATCACTTCAATTCCATTACACAATAAATGACAATAAATGTCAAAAACCATAAAGGACTAAAAACAATTTAAAAACATTTAGCAAACAACAAGAAAGTACAACCAGTGATTCAGATCT